TTTTTTTTAGTATATGACATATGACACCTAATCATGTAAAACTACACAAGCAAGACAGGCCAGTTCCATCAGTAGCACACCTCTCCCCACTTTCTCCACTCTTCAAAACCACTCATCGGTTTCCTGTTCCTGCAGTTTTGCTTTTTTGTTGTTTTTGAGACAAAGTCTTGAAATGTAGCTCAGGCTGCCTTCAAGTTTTGGTTCTCCCACCTCAGCTTCCTGAGTGGTGGGATATGGGCATGGGCACCATGCCCAGTTAGCTTTGCCTTTTTCCAGAATGCTGTACAGGGAGAATCATATCAGCCTTTTGTGTCTGGCTTCTTTCACTTAGCAAAATGCTTTCCAGGTTCAGCCACAAGGTGTGTCTATCACTAGATCATTCCTTATTGCAGAGTGTCATTCTGTTGTATAGACAGGCCACAGTTTGTTTACCCATTCCCCAGTTAAGGAGTATGTTGGTTGCTTCATAATCAGTTGTTACAAATAGTCTGCTACTAGTAGACACGTTTTTGTGTGAATGTAGGCTTTCATATTATATTACTTACGTAAATTCCAAACAAGAATTGCTGAATCAAGCGATAAGTGTATGCTTAACTTTAAAAGAAGCTGCCAAACTGTTTGCCAATGCCTGGGTTTGCATGCCAGCCAGCGGTGAGCTCCAGTTCTTCCACAGCTATATCCTCACCAGTACTTAGTATTGTCCTTTCTCTTTTTTTCTTTACATGTTCTAATATGTGTTACAGTACTGTCTCATGGTTTTCACTTTACTTTCATAGTGACTAGTGATATAAGAAATCTTCTAAGGAAATATAAATATCTATTCAAATCTTTTATGCAGTTTTTAGAGATTTATTGCATTTAAAAATTTTTATTTGTACCTATCATTTGTCTGTCTGTCTGTCTATCATCTGTCTGACAGTACTAAGGCTTGAACTCTGGGTCTCATGCTTGTTAGGCAGGCACTATACCACTTGAGCCCACTCCCAGCCCTCATTTATGTTGGTGATTTTTCACAAGGGGTCTTGCTTTGTAAGTGATTCTCCTGTTGTTTCCTAGTGTAGCTGGAATGACAGGCACACACCAACACACCCAGCCATTGGTTGAGATGAGGTCTTGTGAATATTTTGCCTAGGCTAGCCTTTAACTGTGATCCTCCTGCTGTCTACCCCCAATAAGTAGCTAGAATTACAGGTGTGAACCACTGTACTTAACTGAGTTTTGAGAGTTAATTTTTCATCCTCTGTATACAATTTATCAGCTACATGATTTGTTTTTTTCTTAGTATATATATTGTCTTTTAATTCCCTCAATGGAAAGAACAGTTAATTTATTTTTACTATATCTACTTTGTTACTTTTGATTTCCCAATACCTCTTTGCCTGGCTTCACATATTTTCTTCTGTGTGTTCTTGTAGAAGTTTTATGGCTTCAGGCTTTCAGTTAGATGTAGCATCCATTTATACTTAACTTTTTTTTGTGTGTATGGTACTGGGTTTGAAATTCAGGCCTTGTGCTTGCTAGGCAGACTCTTTCCACTTGAACCACATCTCCAGCCCTGTAATTAGCTTTTGTATATGAGGCAAAATATAATTCAAGATACATACAGATAACCAGTTATTTTGATATCATATTAAAAATTACCTCTTCTCCATTTAATTCCCAGTGTGGTTTTTGTCAAAAATTAATTACCTTATGTGTGAGGATCTATTTCTAACTTAATATTTACAAAAAATTAAATGGAGAGAAACAGAATACAAATCTTTTTTTTTTTTTAATGTGTTTCAGGTTTTAAGTTTCAGGTATTTCAATTTGTGGAAGATTTTTAATTGCTTAGAAATGTTAAAATTAACATTTCATAAAATCAAAACTTTAAAGGATATAACATGACTTAAGCTTTACTTTTTCAACTATGAAAACATGAGTGGTTGACTGGTTGCAATTTGCCTTTCTTTGTGACTTTTCTCTTCTATAGAATCCTGATCCTAAAAAGTCAGGATTAATAACACTTGTCTTAATTCATTGTTGGTATTGACAATAAATGAAAAAATATGTTTTGAAAATATCTGTGTTAAGTATACACTATGGTAATTATAGTATTTCAGGGATTTTCCTTATGATTTATCATAATATGACTTATTGCTCAAACTTTTTTTGGTGGTACTTGGGTTTGAACTCAGGGCTTCATGCTTTCTAGACAGGTGCTCTACCACTGAGCCACTCCACCAGCCATGATTTAGTGTCTTCAGAACTTATTCTGAAATCTTTATTTGACTTAAAAAGTTACCATTAGAGCTGGGCACCTGTGGCTCACTACTGTAATCCTAGCTACTCAGGAGGCAGAGATCAGAAGGATCACAGTTCGCAGCCAGCCCAGACAAAGAGTTTGCGAGACTGTGTCTTGAAAATACCTAACACAAAAAGGGCTTGTGGAGTGGCTCAAGATGTAGGCCCTCAGTTCAAGTTCTGGTACCACAAACCCCCCCCCCAAAACCTCTTATCATTATATAAGTTGTTATTATGTGAATTTTTAGTGTTCAGAAATATTTCTGGGAAAATTTTAAGTTATTTTCATCTCAAAAAAAACTGCATGAGACTAACTGGGTGCCAGTGGCTCATGTCTATAATCCTACCTACCCTGAAGGCAGAGATCAGAAGGTACACTGTTTGAAGCCAGCTTGGGAAAACAGTTTGTGGGAACCTTTCTCGAAAAAACCAACACAAAAAAGGACTGGTGGAGTGGCACAAGTGATAGAGAATCTGCCTAGTAAGCATGAAGTCCTGAGGGCGAACCCTAGTATCACCAAAAAAAAAAAAAGACTAGTACTAAGTGGATAAAATTTCATTTTTTTTTTCTGTAGAATTTCTGTGGTGAAAATAGTTGGTAAAAGTGGGGAACTAAGGAAATTTGAGTTAGATGGGTATAAAGAATAAATTATTATGAGAAAAACTGACAAGAATCATCAACAAAATCTATTTTCCAAATGAAATTTGCATGTTTAGTACTTTATTAAACTATAGCAGTTTTGTTGCATTATCTTCTTTATACTTGCTGAATAGTAGAAACAAATATTCAAATATTACATGAACTTAAAAATTAAGTATTTTGTTGGTGCATAGAACTATGCATGTAACTTTAAGCTACTTTAGTATGCAGCTAATGACCTAGAGGTCATATTTAAAGTAGAATTTTAGAAGAGCTTTTGGACACCTGACAAACATTAGATTGATTTTCTAAATCAGACTTCACATAACATATTTATTTTTCTACTTAGCCAGATTGGCTGGAGTACAAATTATCTCTCTTTGGGATGCTATTATACGCTGTTCTTTGAAGTTTGTTGTGAGGCTTTTTTTTGTTTTGTTTTGCCTTGGTATGGTCATATTACAAGGCAGGTTAAGTAACTGAAATCATGTCAGTTTTGATTTTAAAAGTTAAGATTAAATATATTGGAAAATTATTGGGGAATAATCTTAGTATCTGTGAATATGGGGAAGAAGCTGTTGCTTATTTTAATCTAAGATTTAAAAGAGAAAGTATGAACTTAAATAAGATTTTTATGTTTGATATGGGGAGAATTCTTTGGGTTTCATGAAATAGTAATGAGTGAAACAATTGAATGCTTCTTTTGGGTGTTTCATCCGAATATATACTTACTGCTTGCCTGTTCATTTAACTGCTGTACTTACTAGAGGCATCTGCTTGGTGATTCTTTTGTGCAATTAAAAAGATTGTTTTGGGCATTTTAAACCCCAACTTGTTTATTTTCATTCTTTTCATTAGGAGGAGCATATTACTTAATATCTAGAAGTCTAGGCCCAGAATTTGGTGGTGCGATTGGCCTGATCTTCGCTTTTGCCAATGCTGTTGCAGTTGCTATGTATGTGGTTGGATTTGCAGAAACTGTGGTGGAATTACTTAAGGTAAGTGAACTTTCTTTTAGTCATTTATTTACCAAGTCTTTACAGAAGGGTTATATGCCACTCAGCATGTTAGCCAAGGGTTAAGAAAGCAGTGATGTGATGACCAAGAAATTCCAAATATTGTAGAAGGTCTTGGAAATACAGAGTGGGCAACAAGAGTATTTAAATTACTCTCCCAGAATGGTGGTAGCAGGAGAATGTTCAGGATGAGTACTCCAGGAAAGGAATCAGGATTAGCAGAGAAAGAAGAAAGGTATACTATGGATAAAGGAGACAGGGAAGAAAAAGAGGTCTAGAAAGGGTAGAGTATGGCATATTAAAAAATAAAAACCTAAACTTCAGTATGGTTAGGGCACAAACTGGCAAGAAACTTTAGAGAGAGAAAAGTATCAAATCAGGAAAGGTGTTGCTTTAAGTTTGCAGTTAAATTTGGGACTTGAATTGGGGGGCCATCACATGATTTTATTTGGATTCCTGTTTGGAATATCTGACCAAATATAGAACATGGATTTGAAGGATCACAAATAGAGAAGGAGACCATTTCAAAGGTTATTGTAGCTATCCTTGGAGGTGGGGGTGAATTGGAGAGGCTTTAATGAAGTTGAATGAGTGGGCTTGATGATCAGTGGGATGTGGGAAATTAGAGAAAGAGGAGAGTTTCACATTTATACACAGATTTCTACCCAGGTGATTTATATGGAAAGTAATGCCATTCACCATGAGATGGATAATATAAGACAGATAGTTTGGGATGTGCTGTTGTGAGGAATCTGGGCCATGTCCAGATAAAGCTGGCTAGAAAGCAGTCGACAATATTGCCCTAGAGTACAGAAGAGAACGTATTTGAAAAGTCATTGGAATCAGTACAATTAAATAAGAGTGAAATAGGATTCCTTCATATTGTTAAATGAGAAGAATCTACAGTGACACTTATAGTTCATGTTAGGTTGTATCTTCTTTTACAGTTGTTTATAGTAAATTAAGATGTTTAAAATCTCAAAAGGACTGATGACTTCATTGACTCTAACTTCTGCAGTATAAGCCAAAGGGATGGGAAAAAGGAAGTACTATAAGCAAACAAGCAACACAGTCATTAGATCTCATATTTTTATTTAATTTAGTGTAAGTTCTTATTTGACACCCAGAGTTTAAGGTTTTAATCTGTGAACTCTTATTTAGTACTTAATTAGGGTTTAAAATATGTTTCAATTATAGTTACATAAGAACAGTAAGCTCTGGGGTATTGCATAGTGTGGTGACTAGTTGAAAATTATGTACTGTACATTTCACAAAGCTAGAAGAAAGGATTTTGAAAGTTCTTACCATAAAAATTTATGTTAATGAGATAACTGTATTTAACCTGATTTAAACATCGTAAAATGTATGCATGCATTGAACATTCTGTGGTACTCCATTAACATGTGCAGCTTTTGCTTTTTCATATCAGCTAAAGTAAAGGTTTTCATGGAGATTTTAATTTAGACTGATCTAATGAAATTTTAAGTATTTGTTTAATAAATGCTTAACATACATAAAATACTGAACAACTGTAATTGTTAGAATCATGGTCCAAGAATCTAAAAAGCAATCAGTAGATACATGTTTACACTATTACGTTTTTTCCTTCAAGTAATTCTCGGGTGTAATTATCTAAATGCTGTAGTAAGTAAAAAAAAGTCTGTAATTAAAAGTTTTTACAAAGTGAAAAGTACATTTTGCTTTATGAAGTTAAATGGAATCCTTCAAATTCAAAAAAGCTGAGAATGGCTTTTTTCTGGAGAGGGGGGCAGTATCTCACTGTATCTCAGCCACTTTAGTGCTGGGATTACAGTTGTGTGCTGCCATGTCTGACTTGGCTTTTCATACCATGTTGTTTAAATATTTATACGTTCTGTGCCTCCAGTTAGCAAGAATATCTTTGGATATGGGATATTTTTCCCCCTAGTTTTTTTAGTAAGCTCTTTTATTTGGAATTCAAGGAAATTTTTTCCTCTCTTGCAATTGACTTTTATGAAGAAATATTTTACAAAAGCATTAACAAAGAATGTTTTTTTTTTTTAAAGAAAGAGGTAACTTCATACTACCATTATAATCTTTATACTTTTCTCAGTTGTAACATGCTACTCATTCTGAGTGATCAATAAAATGTTTTTGTTTTCTGTGCCTTTTTATTACCTTATTTAAGAAGTGGTAATTCATACATAGCTATTTACTTGGTTGATTAGGATTTCACAATTTTTAAATTTACACGAGAACTTTAAAAAAAAAGTTACAAATATTAACTACACGACAAATAATTTTGCTGATAGAATGGGAACAGTGTATGGTTTCGACAATAGCATGAAGGTGTTTTTATATCTTCCTCATGCAACCATCAACAGTATGAGTTCACTAATTACATTGAATACAGAATACATTTGCCATGTCATTTAAAAAAAACTAGCTGTATTACTTTGTCAGAAGATTTTTTTTTTTGCTTGTTATCAATTTCTCTTTTGATTTATGGAGTCCAGTCCAATATACTAATATTAATAATTTAGTTATTTGATATTAGATATGTGAATGATAACTTCAGTGGTAAATATTAATTCTCCCAGTCATTCGTTTTTTAATAAGCATTTATTCAACATCTCCATGTAAGGAACTGTTGCTTAGTGTGTTTCTCTTTCCTAGGAACATTCCATACTTATGATAGATGAAATCAATGATATCCGGATTATTGGAGCCATTACAGTGGTGATTCTTTTAGGTATCTCAGTTGCTGGAATGGAGTGGGAAGCAAAAGTAAGTCATGACTGGAACATCTAAAAATGTTTAGTACGTGACTTGTAGAGCTTGTCAAACTCTAAAATGTGGTGTTTTCAGACTCTAGTGCTACCTAATTGGTCATTTTCACTGAAGTTTATGGATAAGGTAACTTAATATTTAAGGCAAGGAATATTTGAAGATAATCAATTTGGAATTTAGTTAAACACAATACTTCTTTTTTCGATGCTGGGAAATAAGCCCAGGGCTTCATAAATGGTAGGCAAGCAGTATAACCACTGAGCTACTCAACCCTCATTTACTTTTATATATACGTTTAACAAATTGACCTGATTTGCAAGGGTAGAATTTATTCTACTTAGGACAGAGTTAGCACATAAGCAGTTCTTGTTCTCACAGATGACAGTTTTCACAAGGAGATGGTGGTTTTCATACATTTTCCTCCTTCCAATCTCATTCTTCTTGAATTCTCCTCTACACTGGCTGCTGCTTGCTCTGCTTTGCCCTCTTTCCTGGAGCAGTCACACATTCAACATTATGTTTGGACCTGGCATAAAACTTATATTTGTAATTAATATATCCTCCATGTCAGAATTGTGGTGGTTAAAGGGTTGGTGATACAGCTCAGTGTACTTGACTGACATGCTCAAAGACCATTGGGAAAAAACAAAAAAGATTGTAGTGGTAAGGTGGAGGAGATTGGAAAGAGCTACATAGGATAAAAAGTCTGAAGTGTTTTGTGATTTTGGATGTTGTATGGTTTATAACCCATTTCAGAAACGTGGTATGGTCCTACTTTGCTGTCTGTTTTTCCCTAGTATATTGAATATTGTAAGATAATTTTTATTTTATTTATTTTTATGAGATGGAGTTCTCAGCTAGTCTCAAACTTGTAATCCTCTTGCCTCAGCTTCTCCAGTAGCTGGGATTACAGGCATGTACCGCCATGCCCATCCTTTCAGATAGTTCTTTAAAGAACTGTTTGTTTAACCAAGTTTGTTGAGCACCTGCTTCATGCTTGGCAATCTTGAGACATTGAGGAAGAAAGCAAAATAAGCCCTTTCCCTAATTGCAGTTAGATTCTAGTAGAACTGAATAAAAGTATGGATATGATACTAGTTTTAATCTTTGATGTTTAAAATTACAGGCTCAGATTGTTCTTCTGGTGATTCTCCTTCTTGCAATTGGTGATTTCGTCATAGGAACATTTATCTCACTAGAGAGCAAGAAACCCAAAGGTTTCTTTGGATATAAATGTAAGTAAAATAGGTTAAATACTTTTTAAAGGGTGCATAATGTAGCATTCTACTATTAATAAATTTAATACATTTTAGATTTTGTACTAAAATTGAGTTTGATCTAAGTGACTCAGAATTCAGTTCCCCCCCCTTTATATAGTTTGTACAATTGGAGTAAAAAACATTTTTATTTTTGTATTTCATTTTTCAGTATTAGCAACAGGATGATAGAATGTAGAGAAATCAGTGTTATTGAGAAGAGGTGCTTTTGTTCTCTACTCTTTTTCAGAGTTAGTAACTGGATTTGTACCTTTTAACATGGCTTTCATTATTTTAGATGCATAGTTAATGTGTCTGTTGAGAAACTCATTGTGAGAAATGTGTCTTCAGGTGATTTCATTGTTGTGTAAACATCAGAGTGAACATATACAAATTAAGATGGCTGTGACTTTACTAGGTGATGTAATCTTAAAGAACCACTGTCATATTTTCGGTCCCATCATTGACCAAAATGTTATTTGGTGCATGACTGTATTTAAATACAAGCTTAAAAGTGCTTAAGATTTTGAAAGCAGCTAGAAGTCTTAGCTTCTTTATGTAATTGCAACTTGTTTTTATATAGTTTATATTATGTGAGAATTTTCTTTAATTTTTATTAAAGAAAATTAACCTTTTTCATTTGCATCTAATTTTCACTAAGTGAAATGAACTTGTCATTTGTTACTTCCTGAAGTTTTTTATTATTATCAGGTTATATTAGTGTCTTAATACTACTAGGTAAATGAAGTTTAAAAAGATTACTCACCATACCATCAGAAAGGCTTGACTTTAACTGGCTGAAACCTACTCTGTGTGTGTGTGTGTGTGTGTGTGTGTGTGTGTGTGTTTGACACAGGGTCTTGTTGTGTATGTAATCTAGGCTGGAGTGTGTGTGTGTGTGTGTGTTTGACACAGGGTCTTGTTGTGTATGTAATCTAGGCTGGACTCAATGTTATCATCCTCTTGTGTCAGCCTCCCAAGTGCTAGTATTCCAGATGTGCACCACCATACCCAGCATTAAAATCCACTTTTTGAAAAAAATCCACTTTTTGAAACCCCAGAAGCAAGGGCCTAACTTTCGATCTGACTAGTTTCCTCCCAAGCTACTTATACAGCTTTGTGAAAAAATACACAATGTAAACCATTGCACTTCATCCTTTAGAAAGTCTTAAAAAATAATCAGCTGAACTAGACTGTGGAACCCTACTTGATTTACATTCTGGTGTATCGTCCTCGGATATGTGTTGAACAGCACTGGTTTGGCTAGTGCTGTATTTGATGCTGACTTAGTTGACTGGAAGGATTTCTGATATGAATTGTTTCATGGTTTTTACCTTAACCAAGCATGACAAAGCCTATTGTTTGTTAGCAATAGCCTATTGTTTGTACTGGTAATTGTGATTTATGTTCTGATTTAGTAGTGCATATGCCAAATTCAAATTGATCTTTAACTTTGTTTCCTAGATTGTGGGGAGAAGTGTCTAATAGGCATGCCAGAAATGAAAGTTATTAGCATCAGTTAGACAGTGTTCAGTATTTTGTGCTTTCGTAAATGTTTGCCACATTTCTTCTAATTATGAGTGAGTTTAAAAAAAATTTTTTTTTGGTGGTACTGGGATTTGAACTCTGGGCCTCAAGCTTGCTAGCTAGACTGATGCTCTACCATTTGAGCAAGTCTGCCAGCCTTAATTTTTTTAAATTACTGTTGTATGAGGGGTACATTGTGACATTTACAGAAGTGTTTACAATATGTCTTAAATTCACCCTGTTATTCCCCCCAACTTTTTTTTTTTTTTTTTTTTAATTTTTGAGACAGTGTCACTAGATAGCCCAGGCTGCCCTTGAACTCCTAATCCCCCTGCTTCCACCTTCTGAGTGCTGGGATTATGGGTATGTACCACTATACCCAGCCTTTCTCCACACTTTTATTTTTAAATCTTAAAAAGTATATGAGCTCTTAACTTCTAAAAATATTCCCAATAGTAGTGCATTTTCTTCTTACGACTTTTAATTGCTTTTAAAATATCTGCAAATACATGTTAAGCCACAATTTTCATTTCCTTTTTTTCAGGTCCCTATAAACTTATAAAAGTGTTAGACAGTTCTGTAGTGTAATAATGTATATAGTGTGTGTGTATATGTGTGTGTGTGTATATGTATATATATATAATATTAGTATTCAAGAAGCCCCTTGGGCTTATCTCAGCCCAAGGTTAATAAATGTAAATGTGTCCTGTAATGTGATTTTTCTTTTTGATGGTGATAATCTTGACTCTCCTCCTGCTCTTTTACTAAGGTTGTGGTAGTAGTAAGGCAGTTATGTTGATAAGCTTGTCAGGTTCACATGACTCCCTCATAGTGGTATCCATTTTGTCTACTTTCCTTTTTCATTTCTGATGATAAAAGTGTCCTTTTACCGAAGACTAGTACCTCTGCTGTTTTCTAGATCCCGTTTCCTTTACTTTCTCAAGGATATTTCCTCCATGTTTTGGTAGTCTGCTTATTTCCTTACACCAAAACTTTCACCTCTGAATTACAAACTTGATCTAGTAATTCTCATCCTTGAAAGTGTTGTTTCTTCTCTCCTCCAGTTATCATCTCACTTTCCAGTTCCTATTCAGAGACAGATTTTTCAAATATATTTTTTTTAAAAGAAGAAAGATTTAATTTTGGCTCATGGTTTCAGAGGTTTTTTCAGTCCATGGTTCCTTGGTCCCATTGCTTTGGGCTTGAGGTGAAGCTGGACATCATGCTGGGGAGGGTGTAGCAAAGCAAAGCTTTTATCTCGTGATGGTCGGGAGGCAAACAGCAATCTTTAAATCCTTAATATCCTTTACTGCTCATTATTTTAAAAGAGACCAGACTTACACTTTTCACCTGGGTTTATCAACGATGAAAACTTTTATATTCTTATCTCATTTTATTACTTCGTATATATCTTAGGCCAGAGCCCAACAGATCAAATCTGTCGAAAACCAAACAGAAAAAGTAATGGTGAAAAACAGGAAGGGAGCTTTAATCAGTATAGTTAACTAGGAAGACAAAAGGGGACCAGTGTCATTAGTCTTGTCTTTGGGGTATTATTATATAGGGAAGGGACAGAAGCAGGCAAACTGGTGTTCTTGATCATTACTTTGGATTGGTCAGATGGGGTCTTGTCATAGCAGTAGATTGATTATTGTCATAAGATGTTTATCCATCAGACCTGTTGTTCCTAGTATCTAAGGCAACTGTAGAACTCAGAGCAAAGGAGACAGAGATGTTAAGTTAACTTCTTACCTCTAAATACTTTAGCTTGCATCTACTAAGGAAAAGAGCAACTGAAGAAATTTAACTTTGGCATAATACTAATATTATGCCAAATAATATGTCCATATGCAAATGTTTTCCAGTTAATTGTCTTTAAAAATCCTAATAGCAACTGGTATTTTTCCTGTCCTGAATAAGTAAGTTGCCATCAGTTGTCATGTCTTTTTTAGTTTCCTTTTTTAAATGATTCTTTTCTGCACTCTCCTTAGCATTTATTCATTTGCTGTTTGTTTACTTGTTTATGACAGTACTGGGGTTTCAAGTCAGTGCTTCACGATTGCTAGGCAGGCATTCTAACACTTGCAGCCTCTTTCTTAGTCTTTTTTGGGTTCTTCTTGATAGCGATGTTTTTTCAAGAGTACGGGACATTTGTTTTTTAGATCTCTCCAGGTGGGTTCATCAGATCTGTTTCAGTAGTTTTTGGTTATTCACATTTGTCAGGATCACGACATGAACAAGGTATCCTTAGTGCACCAGAGCAGGAGGGCCATGTGATATCAGTTTTTGCCATTTCTGATGTTGTTAATTTTGATTACCTTGGCAAGGTAATACTTGGGAGGATTTTCTGCTGTGAGGTTGTCATTTTTCTCCTTTGTAATTAATATGCAATCTAGAGATTGCATATTAATCTGTAGATTACTTTGAAAGTGTGCATAGCCTAATTTCCATCAAACTTTAACCAAATAACTTTAATTTCAGTCCGTCTCATTTGGCTTCTAACTGTGGAAGTCACATTCACATGGTACAGCGTACAGTTTTTCTTTAATCCTCTGGTCAGCAACATTCCTCTTAGTTGTCCCTTCTTAAATCACTCCTCTTGTTTTTTTTTGGTGTAGCATTCTACCTAGGTCCTCAGTCACTGTTCTATTAATCCTGTTGCCACTTCTCTTCTTCCTGACTTTTAAATGCAAGTTGGACAGAGAATGGTCCTGACCTCCCAGCTATATTCTTTCCTTTAGTGGAATCTATTCTTGTGACTTTAAAAAAAAAAAAGAAAAGAAAAAAACAAAAACCTATCATGAGACCATCATGATTCTGTTTTTGAATCTCTCCATTAAAGTCTAAACACGTGTGTATCTAATTGCTTATTTGATATCTTTCCTAATTACTCCCTTAGACTTTTCTATCTCAGCAAGTGAAAGAAACCAGAGTGTTAGTGCTTACTGTTTCCTACCTGCCTCCCTTCATTTCTATTTCTTTTTCTTTTTTTTCTTTCCTTGGTGGTACTGGGGTTTGAACTCAGGGTCTAGCTCTTGCTAGGCATGTGCTCTACCCTTGAGCCACTCAGCCAGCCCCTGCTTTCCTTAATTTCTAATTCTTCTCTTATCTGTGTGTTATCTATAGGTTAAACCATCCAGTTGTTCTCCTAATCGGTCTCTGTGCTTTAGATGTTCACTCCTTCAGTCTGTTGCCCATACCATATAGTATCCATACGACATAATGCTGTCTCCATGTTTCTGACCCTACCATTTTATTTAATTATGTTTTTTTTTGTTGTTGTTGATTTTGTTTTGTTGAAATTTCTTTTTTTTTTTCTTTTGGCAGTACTGAGGTGTGAACTCAGGCCCTCATGCTTGCTGGGTAGATGTTCTATGACGTGAGCCATTCTGCCAGCCCTACCATTTTATTTAGAGTAAAATTCAAACTTCTGTCTGGCCTTCTTGGCACAATATCTTTAATCCCAGCATTTGGGAGGCTGAAGTAGGAAGATCATGAATTCAAGGCCAGCTTGAATAGCATAGTGAGTTCTAGGCCAGCCTCAGCTATGTAATGAGACTGTATCTTTAAAAAAAAAGCATTTAAACCTCTATCAAAAAGTCTTTCTCCTGCTGAACTCTGCACTGTCATTCCATTCTCATCTTACTGTGAGAACCTGATCTTGAGCTCCCCAAAGAAGGTAAATCTCTTCCTACCTTTATATTTGTTATACATTCTTTTCCCTGTCATCACACCATGTTTTCTGCTCAGTGAAATAAATGTCAGCTTGAATGATATCTCCTTAGCTGTAATTTCTCTAACCTCTGTAACTACATAGCATTAGACTCTCTTTTGTTTCCTTTATCATGACACTGTATTTACATCAGTGCATTTACTGCTATTTATAATAACCTTTTCTTTATGTTGTAGCTCCTGTTGAGAATCTTACATTTCATGAAGGCAGGCACCATATCTAAGCTTATATCTCTAAGCGCTTTGAGATACTAAGTAGCTTTAGAACAGTACCTGGCACGTGGTAGATACTCATGTATTGGAAACCACAGTTAATTGGTTGTTTTAATGTCAGTACCTATGTTTCAGAATAGATTAAAATAGTAGGACTAACTGAAGTTTTCATTATCATTGAAATGGAAAAGAACTTTACTTAAGGCACTTTAATTAAAGTTACCTGGCATAGGTCAACTAAGAAATAGAAAAAGCTATACAGGTAGTGTCGGAAGTTGTTGGAGGCAAGCACGGAGGTAGTGCTTTTCCCTTCCCCATTGTATCCTCAAGCTCTGAGGTTGAGGGGTTTTCACGCTTTGTTATCACAATCAATCAAATCAGAGACTCTTAAAATGTTGTCAATGAGGTATATAAAAAGTGTGATATGATTCAGGTCAGTTCATTTCAATTGTAAGCCATTCCCTCACACAAGAAAAGAGGAACACTGATACTGGAATTAGGAAATACACAAGAATTTGCCAGTTACTTGAACTGAAGAAAGGTTGGGGGTCATATATACCAATGCATATGATATTCTAGGTACTCCTGACCTAAATTACTGGTTTTTTTGAGCAGTAATGAGATTTGAACTCAGGGCCTTGTGCTTGTTAGGCAAGCCATGCCCCTGACCCTTTTAGCTTTTAGCTTTTAGAAGGTAACACCCACTCACAGGAAATCAATGTGAGTCAATGCCCTGTATAGCTATCCTTATCTCAACCAGCAAAAACCCTTGTTCCTTCCTATTATTGCTTATACTCTCTCTACAACAAAATTAGAAATAAGGGCAAAATAGTTTCTGCTGGGTATTAGGGGGGAGAGAGGGAGGGGACGGAGTGGGTGGTAAGGGAGGGGGTGGGGGCAGGGGGGAGAAATGAACCAAGCCTTGTATGCACATATGAATAATAAAAGAAAAATGAAAAAAAAAAAAAAAAAAGAAATGGTGTTCTGCTTTTTACCCAGGGCTGGCCTTGAACTTGATCCTCCTGCTTATGCCTATGGTATAGTTGGGATTACAAGCAAACATTACCAAATCCAGCTTGTTTGTTGAGATGGGGTGTCAATAACTTTTTGCCTGGTTGGCCTTGAACCTCAGACCTCCCAATCTCTACCTCTCAAGTAGCTGAGATTATAGGCTTGAGCCACCATGTTCAGCCTTTGCCTAAATTATTATCTACTATCCATTAACTGCCCAAAATATTTTGTTTTCTATAGCTGAAATATTTAATGAGAACTTTGGACCAGATTTTCGAGAAGAAGAGACTTTCTTTTCTGTATTTGCTATCTTTTTTCCTGCTGCAACTGGTATTCTAGCTGGAGCAAATATCTCAGGTGATCTTGCAGTAAGTAAAGTATTGTGTCACTTATGTGTGTGTTAAAAAAAGTTGTATTCATACTTTGTTTTAAAAGACAGATTTAAAGAAATCTTCTTGTCTTTTAGGATCCTCAGTCAGCCATACCCAAAGGAACACTCTTAGCCATCTTCATTACTACAGTGGTTTACATAGGAATTGCAGTGTCTGTAGGTAAAGAACCTTTAATTTCTTTATGTGTCTCAGAAATTTCATGTGTATCTAGTATAAATATTTTCATAACATTTTCTAAATATTTCAGTAAAAGATATAGAGTTGCCTATTACAGTTTGAAAGCAGTTTTAAGAAAACTAATAGTGAAGTTTTATGGACATTAAACCATCAAACATTTTATTGAGTCTGCCTCAAGATTTATTGTAATTACAAAGATGTAAAATCTTATTTCTAAATACTTAAGTTTCATTGAGATATAGTTATAGGAAACATCATTTATATGTGGAAGTAAATGGTGCTCTTGGATCTTTACAAATTTCTGAGCATTTTTATTCTTGTTCTTCTTTCATATGATAAAATTATCAAGATTATTAAGCAATGCCTACCATTTTTTACAATACACGCACTGAATTTTGAAGAATAAAATACTAAGTTGAATAAAAAGTCTTACTGAAACCTTATTAAACTAAATGAAAATGATTTTGAAATTATTCTATTACATTCATGGGATCCAGCATTTTAAAACTTAAGTGGTCCACCTGTCTCTAGATTCTCATTTATAGATGAGGAATTGAAGCTCGGAAATTTTGCTACCAAAGATAATGGCACTTGCTTAAGAGAATTATTTTCACAGGAGAGTTTTTTCTTTTTTACTTTGTTTTTTAAATGAAATAATAAAAAGGTATTTATAAAACCCAGATCTTTTAAATTTATTGAAACATCGTAGCTCAAAAAACACTCGGTAAGTTATTGTTAATTTATATATAATTTTCAAGAAGAGACTAGATAAATTGTCTTGAGTTTATTGTACATTTTATGAAATTTAGGAAAACATATGTTCTTGAAATGTAAGCGGGGTTTAAATTTGTAAACTCTAAAAGTCAAGTTTTACAGTTAAATTATTAAAAATACAAAAGTAAATATTAAAGAATCACAAACTTTGGTTTAGTGTGCCTGAGACCTGGGGTTCAATCCCCAGCACCAAAAAAAGAGAAAAAAAAAAGAAAGGCTTCAAATTGATTGACTTCATGGCATGAAGTTTGCATTACATTTCAGTAAGAGTATTTCAGTTTAGTGCATATTTACTGATTTATAGAATTATATTTAAAAACTTTCCTATTTGTCAATGTGATTTTTAAATTTCACTGAACTAAAGTTAGAAATGCTAATAATACCGTAATGGGTTGAATTGGTGTTGAAAAAGGATTTTGAATTTCATTTACCATGAACAATCCATTAATCTCTGAAATTCATTTTGAAAAAACAAATGTAGACACATAAAAATTTATGTAAAAATTTATGTAAAATTCTTAGTAAAATTTGTTTCCCTAAAAGTTCCTAGCATACTTGTATACATTTTACATTAACCAAATAAAACTTAGTTTTAATTTGAAAAATGATATAGCTGATTATGTTTTAACTTCTTAAAATAATTTGTCGTCATGGATAAACATTTTCTGTTTTGATTTGATCCTTTAAAACTGCTACCCTCATTCATTTCATTCTGTCCATGTAGCCCTTAGAGCAGCCTTTTCTCTCTGATGTTTGTCAGCTGAACCAGAAAAGACAACTTCTAAGCAGGTGGCTGTATAACTAGTTCAAAGCAACAGAACCCTTTTCACCCAAAACTGCAGATACAGAACATTGGGATATGAAGCACATGAAAGCGTAGCTGCTTTAGGGCTAATGGGCATCACAGGTCTCTGTTCTCTTCCTCTTCCCTGTCCCCTATGGTTTCAGAGTTACCTTTAGGGACACAGGGTTTTGCAAACACTGTGTTGAAAGGTAGAGAAGAAGGTGTTTAAGTATTTATTTGTAATTACTATTCTTTGTAGAAGGTTCTGCTTCATTACTTAAATTTTGGAGACCATGATGTTTCCTATATTCTGTTCATGGTAAAGATACCTTAACTGTAAATGCAATGTAAGCTATTATAAGTGAGTATATATCTAGTCAATACTTTGATTTCCTTTTGAATTTGTAGAATTCTAGAATGAGCATAGATGTTAGCTATATTATTCTCATTGTCATTTTTGCTTCAGGTTCTTGTGTTGTTCGGGATGCCACTGGGAATGTTAATGACACCATTGTAACAGAGATAGCAAACTGTACTTCTGCAGCTTGCAAATTAAACTTTGACTTTTCATCTTGTGAAACCAGTCCTTGTTCCTATGGTCTAATGAATAACTTTCAGGTGAGCATCAAATCTTTATAGACATTCTATTTATTTATCTAGGGGTTACATTGCTATTAAATCTTGTATATTAATTCAGAATACAGCTATAAATTAGAAGAGAGGACCATTGTTTGTACCTCCTAAACAGTATATTACTAACTGGGCAAACAGAAAAATATACAGGGTAAAATGTGAGGCTGTTCATGAGCAAAAAGCCCTTGAGGGTAGCGGCTTAGTAATAGAATATAAGTTGTAGTGAGTGTGCGTGTGTGTAGTACTTCAGGAAGTAGAGACGCACCTGAACTGTCTTTCACATGACTCATATTTGGGAAGTCATTTCTGGATTCTCGCTATTCTGTTACATTGAGCTTCGTGTCTTTCCTTTCACCTACACCACAGTAACTGTACAGTAAGTATTGAAGTCTGGTACTTCATTCTTTTTACTTTATCCTTTTCCAAAACTGTTCTAGCTATTTTAGTTTCTTTGCAATTAGTAATGTCTTTATAGTTGCATAATTTTTAGAAAAAAATTTGATGAATATCAGTATTATTAATAAGATATGACCCATTTAAAGTCATGTTATATCATCATTTAAGAACAGAATTTAATTCTGAATGGATGCTTGAAAGTTAGCTCTCGGGGATTATCAGTTCTTTTATTATTTATTGTTTACTTCTGTTAAGATCTTGAAAGTGGAATGGCATTTTATTCTAAAACTTCTGGGCTTTAAGAAAGTAAGAAAAGATTATATGAAAGATTTCAAGAGTTGAGTACTAAATTCTAGGATGGTAGAAAGAAGAACACAAAGGTATAGATATAGGAAATTAAAACAAAATTCTCTGTGATAAATTTACAGAATATGTAGTTCTGCTGGTTGCAAATGAAAAATAGAAATTTGCCTTCCATTTTTTCAGTATTATGTAAACATAAGAAATAGAATAATTGAGAATCTGAATATATTCAGAATTCACTATGTATTAGGTAGATATGTAAATTTTATAATACATCTTTTTTTTAGCTGTGCTGGGGATTGAACTGAAAACCTCACACATGCTAGGAAAACACTTTACCACTGGAGTGAACATCCCAGTCCTTTAACTAAAATATTTAATAGCATTATTCTTTTTTATTTCTGTTGTATAGTTGCAAAAAATCGACTGCACTTTCAGTAGTTACAAATATTAGACCCAGTCATATAATAGCAGTTTGTGTTTCCTAGTAATAAGACTGTGCAAAATTATAGGAATGAAAGAAAGTATTCATATCTAGCTAATGATTCAAGCCAGTTCTGACATTGATATTGTGTATGAAAGGCACACACATTGATCTCCGCCCAGTGGCGGAGAATGCAAGTCAAATTTCTGTATTGTTGCCTTAAAATACAAACCTGTGTTGTCTTTCTCAAGTCTAGTATGAACTCATTCAAGCAAAAAGAAGTTTGATATAAGTCAGGCTTTTTAATTTAAATAAATAATCCTTTAATGCTGTGTTAAACAATACGTAATGGTGAAAAATCTTCTGTAGAAATTAAATCGCTTGTCATTTAGAGAATGAAGAGAGGTAGATAGAACACAAATAGTACATAAGTCAGACTCTCCATTGTAAAATCTATACCACCCACAGAATTTTTCATACTTAAGGGAGTAAAGTCTTAAAATTTTAATTTTATATATTGTCTCATGTATATTTTTGCATTTTGATGTCTTCTCAAATCTTTGATGCAACATTTGCCTAATAAAATATGAACTGCTTTGTTTCCCTAGCGAAAGCCCTGCATACCTTTAGTCCTGCTGCTTACTGATCATACTGAACCCCACTCATTGTGTATTTGTATACATGTGGATGCACATGCTTACCCTACTGTCGGTACAGATATGCCACACCTACCATTCATTTTATTATTTTTGTCTTTTGTCCTCTGTCAGAGACAAGACCATTTTGTTTTTCAGCTTTTTTCCTACTTTTGTGAACAGCACAGATACTACCATTATTACATTTCATATCATCCTTGATACTCATATTTCATTGCTTAATTTTGAGAAAAGTAGAGGTTATGGGTAAATATTTCATTAAAAAACCAGAAGCCTGCATTGCAGGATACTTTTTAGCCTTACCACATAGCATTTCCAGGCATTAAGCCTAGATCATTATCTTTGTCAGTTCACAGCTGATAGAAGAAAGGAAAATGCACTTTTTTTTAAGCATAAAAGCTGAAAGATTATAATTATATGAGATGTTGATGGTATCAGTTTTGTTAGTCTAGAACTTGGAATGCATCATATTCTCACTTTTTCCTTATCTCCTGCCTTTGCACTTAATTAAACTTTGAGATCATTACAGACAGGTGTGTAATTTTGTAGATATAACAAGTTATGTCTATTCATTTTTAGTTTTTGCTTACCTTATTTGTCCTTTACTGTCTGTTTCCTAAAGGTAGGGCTGACAATGCTAGATAGTGCATCTTTAATTACTATGAAAAATGGATGATATATATGAAACTGCTAACTTGTGGCTGAACAGATTTTTTCAAGTTTTTTCTCATGCTTTTCAAAGAAGTCAGTGTTTCTTGAAACATTTAGGATATGGATTCTTTATACTTAAGTCTAGTAAAATATACAGGGCAAAACATTTTTGTAAGTAAAAGAAGTTTATGTATACATGAAATCAGGCTTAGACATTATGGCTGGGAATTGTGCCCAAAGCTGGTTTTACATCTGGCTTAAAGTATTAAATTATAGTTAAGTATATGATAGTCATAAACAGCTTAAACTTGATTTCCCTATCTCATCGGTCTCAGTTTGTAAATTCTCTAAATAAAAGAAATTTCTCCTAATGTAATAAATTTGGGTGATGACCACCATTCCTTGCTGGGAAATTTATGGTACATGGATCAAGCTAACAATACTCGAATCTGCCAAACATTTCCTTTACCTTAATCTTATATTTTGACAATTTTCAAAGATACAGAAGGAACTCTGCAATGAACATCTATGTAACCTTCTTTCAGTTATTTCACTAGCTGTGTATATTTTACCCCCTTTGTTTTATCTTTCTGGGTAATTTTTTCCTCAAGTAAGTGAGAATAGGTTAAAGACATCATTACATGATAATCAGTTTCAAGTCGTTTAAGGTATTTTGTACAAGCACAGTGCAGCTCTCCTACATAAGAAATTTCACACTGATAAAATACTGTTATTTCACTTTTCCCAGTATTGTCTTTATTTTTCCAAGCTAGGATCACGTGTAGCATTTTTTATCTGTCATTTAATCTAGGGCATTTTCTAGCCTATCTTAATCTTTATGACACTGATATTTTAAATAGTCCAGCAAAAGTTGCTTCGTATTTACCCCTCACTTTGGATTTTTCTGATTGACTTCTCACAATCTAAATGAACAATCTTTTTTTTGTGAAAAGTTCTTAGGAAAATGTTGGAAAGAATACAGTGAACTGAATGCATGCATTGCTCAGCTCCATCAGTTATCAACGTCTGGGTAGTTTTGTTTCATTTATAACTTCTGACATCCCAGATTAATTATTTAGAGACAAACTGTGGACCTTATATCATGTTCTTTCAGCTGGAAATATTTGCACATTTAACTCTTAAGACTTTTCAAAAAAAAAATCACACAATACTATGTTAACATCACAAAAAGAAACAGCTTTCCTGATGGAAGTACATCTTGCCAAGAGCTTGTACCCCAGTTTGACTGTGTAGATTTAAATATCAGTTTACTAGAACTAGAGAGAAGAGAGGAACAGGTAAAAACAACAGAATGGAGATGTAGTTAGAAAATTTCTGAGTGAAAAACTTCTAGAGGAGAAATGACATAAAAGTAATAAATGGAAAGGTGTGAAATTGTTGATTGAGAAAGATGTATGAGACATTTGGACAAACTTTCAAAATGATCAAGAAAAGAGGGATAATTGAATGCTGAGTGAATATGTGGTACTGTGAAAGGATGATTTAAGGTTTTGTTTTGTTTTGATGCTGCTGAGGTTTGAACTCAGGGTTTTGTGGTTGCAAGGCTGATGCTTTATCCCTTGAGCCACGCCTCCAGCCTTTTTTGCTCTGCTTGCTTTGGAGATTGCATAGGCCTTCCTGGACCATGATCTTCCTATTTTATGCTACCTCCCATCACTGGAATAACAGGCATGCACCACCCCACCCAGCTTTCCCCCCTTGAGATGGAGTGTTGAAAATTTTTTGCCTGGACTGGCCTTGAACTGTGATCTTCCTGATCTCAGCCTCACAAATAGCCAGAATTACAGGTGTGAGCAGTTGGTCCTTGGGACAATGGCATTTTAGTTGAAGTTTTTAAAAGTCTTCACCTGGGAGATACTGAGTGTTCACGCATTGACTATCTGAGGACTTGTTTCAAAATAATCATTGCTTATACCTGGTGATGGGCTATTACCCTTCTCTCTTCTGTTGTGCAGTTTGAAATTTTACAACATGAAAAGATTTATTTATGATAAAGGCTAGGGGTAAATCTGTTTCAGAAATTTATAATGCTCTTAGTATTGTTATTGCTTATTATTATTTTATCCCCAGTATTAGTTTTCTTTATTAGAATAACCAGGTTGTGTCTACATACTACTGTGGTTTGGTTTTGTTTTTCAAATTGTTTGAGAGACTTACTTTTCCATTTTTGTCACTTTTATTTAAGGTAATGAGCATGGTGTCAGGATTTGCACCATTAATTTCTGCAGGTATCTTTTCAGCCACTCTTTCTTCAGCATTAGCATCTCTTGTGAGTGCTCCCAAAATATTTCAAGTAAGTATTTTCATATTACAGGGTTTTGGTTTTGTTTTGTTTTTTTGTGGGACCTTGTGCTTGCTAGGCAAGTGTTCTACCACTCGAGCCCTAGCCCTAGCACAAATTACAGGTTTTATTGAAGGGAGAGTTATGGTGATATTTCACAATTTGGGATTATTACTTCTTTCAAATTAGTTGCATCTATTAGCCCGATGTATATGATGTATACACATGCACGTATATGAAGATTGGTATGAATTCTATGTGTATGAATAGTATGTACATTTATATAAACATTTTTCATTTATCTACTCTTAAGGTATATAGTCTTTGAGTTGTCTGTTTAGAAATGATGGAGTTTTGCTTTTGGACATACTTAGCTTACAATTTTAAGATTGTTGTCAAGGATTAGGAGTGTAGTACAAGACCATAAAGCAGAAGTAGTAAAGTAGCTTGCTTCAGTTTATATGATAGCAACTGAAATGTTTTGTTTTACAACTATTTAAATGTCTAATCTATCCCTCATATTGCATTAACTATGTAGGGTGTAATGATAAGTAGGATGAACGTTATTTCACTTTAATGAGTGTTAAACAGTTGATATTGATTAGGAAATACTTTTGCTACTAAATTAAGCAAGTAAAATGTGGATTCTGCAGCTTTTTTCTTAATGTTATGGTAAAGGTGTAAGTACAGTAACAGTGTAAAATACATTTTATAAAAATGGTGTTCAGTAATTTTTAAGAAGTGATTCAGTTTTGTAATTAGGATTTTTATGTGCTTTGAATTTTGGTTTGGACTTGTTTTTCTTAAGTCATAGGTTAGTATGTCATCCTTATCAAGCTTCCAGTTTCCTTTTATCCGATTGCACTTTTATTTGTATGCCTGCTTTCTGATTCTCTCCTCGAACATAAAAAGAATTTCAATCTGGAATGGGGTAGGACAGACAAAAACTAAAGCAGTATTCTAAGCCAGCGAGGCTTCTGATGTTTGAACTATTTGAAATGTTTGAATCTCCTCTACAGTTTGTAGATGAAACACTGAGACAGGAAAGAAAGAGGGTCACAAAGTAGAAACTTGGGTTCCATTCCTGATTAACCTGTTAAAACTGTAAGCAAATTTATGTGTCTTAATTTTGATGTTTTTCATTTTAATATTTACATTTTTTTCATTAGGCTTTGTGTAAGGACAACATCTATCCAGCTTTCCAGATGTTTGCTAAAGGTTATGGAAAAAATAATGAACCTCTTCGTGGTTATATCTTAACATTCTTAATTGCACTTGGATTCATCTTAATTGGTTAGTCATATAAATGGTTAATGTGTTAATATAGATTATGGTATACTTATAGTATTAGTTTATAAATGTTGAATTATTACATTATTAACAAAATGTTACTTTGCTTGCTATACTAGGTTAATTTTTTTCTAATCAGAGGGATGAACATGGGGAGCACTACAAATCCTAGCACTTGGTAGACACTTGCTAAGTTTATTACCATCATTAAGTCACTATGAAGTCTACAGGGAACCCTTAGATTCTTGTTCCTAAAATAAATGTAATAGTGCAAGAAAAGTATACTAGTGCTCCCCTCAAGAAAGTCTGCTTTTTTGCCTCTGATCACAAGTGATCCTTGGGTCTTCACCTTCTAAAGAGGCCATTAAGCTTTGGAGTTCTAATGAATTTTGTCTAACCCCTTAAGGTAGTTGACATTGGAAATCTGATGATGCCACCAATTATTGTGGTGCTGTGTGCAATCTCTCACATAATGCTGACAGGTGTGTATTTTCAGTTGCTTTTGGAGAACAAGTTGGCACTATCCAGTAAAATTTCCGATTGTTGGTGTGCACTTTAAGGAAACTTACACTTATGCCCAAAGTGACATTTATAACAGTGCTGCTAGTATCATAATAGTGCAAAACATGGAAGCAAGCTAAATGAACAGAAGAATGAATCTGTAGAGTAATGTGCAGTAGTAAAAAAAAATGAATAAACGTGTTTTGTATACCAATACGAATGAATCTCAGATACATTAAATATAAAAGATCAAATTGAAGAATGATATACATTATAATATTTATATAATTTTTGAAACACTCCAAATAGTCCTGTAAATTATAAGACTTATGTGTGTAGTAAAGCTGTATATTTGATAAAATTGGAAGAAATGTTCCATGTTTAGAATAATGAGACAGAGGGCTTTTCAGCTATGTATATACAGTTTGGTTTCTGAAAAGTATATGATGCATTTATGGCAAAATGTAAATTTTCAGTAGGTGGTAGATGGTAGTGGTGTTTATTATGGTATTTATTATCTAATAATTTTTCATAATTTTAAAAACTTTAAAATGTCACTGAATATACCTCATGCTTCTTTTGCAGCTGAATTGAATGTTATTGCTCCAATTATCTCTAACTTCTTCCTTGCATCGTATGCATTGATCAATTTTTCAGTATTCCATGCCTCACTAGCAAAGTCTCCAGGTGATTTTATGTTTTTAAAAAAGTTTTCTAAATGTATGAATATGGGGGGAGAGAAGGTAAAGGAATAATGATGGAGGGGGTGATTTCACCTATGATATATTGTAAGAACTTTTATATATGTCACACTATACCCCCAGTACAATTAAATTGAATGAATAAATAATGTATGAATATATTATGATTTCAGAAAAAAGCAAAACTTCCATACATTGTAAGACTTGTGTGTGTGGGATTAGTCCATTATTTTGTTTTTCTTTACAGTTAAGTTTTTAAATTTAGAGTTCTTTATCGTGAAATTCACTGATAATATCCTATTTCTTATACTCAAGCACTTAAAGTACATTAATGTTTCATTCTAACATTGTGAAAAAATTACTCACTGTTTTTAACTGTTTTCACAACTGATTTGTGTCAGTTGTAGAAGACCATTGTTATGATATACATTGCCTCTCCCCTCAACACACCCTTTTTTATGTGCAGGATTTAACCTAGGGATTCATGCATACTATAAGCATGTGCTCTATCACTGAACTTCATTTCCAGCCCCTAAAATATTTTGAACATGACAAGTTCTGTGGAATTGTAACATAAGGGTGCCTCTCGCAGCAGAAAAAAGTATATGGGGCTTTTGCTATTAATGTGACTACAGTTGAAATCAGGGAAAGAACTGAAAGAACAAAAGTGAGGATCTGAGTCTCTCAGAACAGGAAACTAAATCATGGGGACTTTGAGCACAAACATTTTATTTTACCTACAAGTTTTACTTTAAAAATAAAATTTTACTGAAGTGACTTTATTATTTTTTTTTTTTTTGCAATACTGGGGGTTGAACCCAGGACCTTCATACTTGCTAGGCACATGCTCTGCCATTTGAGCCATATCCCTAGTCCTTTTGCTTTTAGGGTTTTTTTTTTTTTTTAAATTTTGTTTTGTTTTGGGTTTTTTTTCCCCCCAGAAAGAGTCTCCTACTTTTGCCTAGACCTGCTTCAGACCATGATCCTCCTACCTCTGCCTCCCAGGTAGCTGGTATAGGCATGTACCAGTGTGCTTGGCCTTATGAAATAATTTTTAAAAAGATTTTTGACTGTGAAAATACTTGGCAATGAAAACTTTAAAACAAGGTCTTCATCATGTTTTAGAGTAGTTTTAATTCATAAATACTTTATAAGACGGGAAGGTAAGAGTTTCTGTAGTCCACTCTTAGTTTATGAAGTAGATAAATTTTATGATTTTCAAAGATAGTTTTGTTTGAAAGGTTTTGCATTATTTGTTAGAACAATGTGTTGTGCAAAACAACAACAAAATTTCTGGAAAATAAAGCTGCTTTTTGTTTTTAAATATCTTCTAGTTTTAGCATTCACAATGGTAGGTTGATTTACATTTTTTACAGTTTATTTTGAATACTAACTTAGATACAGTAATGTGAAAGTAAATAGATGTGCCATTTTCATAGCCATCAGGAATTGTAAAATTCAGTTGTAATCAATAATAACTGTTCAACTTTACTATTAGAAATTAGGCTTGCACTTGATGCTTCGAGTTCTCTCAGTATAGCAGCAATAAAGAAAGCTATTTTGTACATACGTGTATGTATCTCTGTATAGCAGAAGAGAAATCTGAGTGATTTTTTCTTTCTTTCTATCTATCTATCTATCTATCTGTCTATCTATCTACTGTTAGGATGGCGTCCTGCATTCAAATACTACAACATGTGGATATCACTTCTTGGAGCAATTCTTTGTTGCATAGTGATGTTTGTCATTAACTGGTGGGCTGCATTGCTAACATACGTGATAGTCCTTGGCCTGTATATTTATGTTACCTACAAAAAACCAGGTCAGTAGCCTTTTCTACTTAGTATTTCATTCTTGAAAATGTTTACAGGTTCTTTGTTTCTTTTCATATTTAAGTCTTATCTTCTATACAATTTAAAGGTATTTCATGTAAAACCTAAAGTGCTTAATACTTTCTTTCCAAGTACATGTGGCTTTTGTTGTTATTCAAATGTATGTAGTTTCGGTGAAACAATTTCTTTAAGACTTTTTATTCCTATGGAATTTCATTTTTACCCATGAGTTAATACGACTAATTCTGTTTTTAGGAAAAGAATAAATTAGCATTCTGTTGCACTCAATGTATTTTAAATTCATTCTTTGAAAGGACTCAGATTTGAAGTACTGTAGTACTAGTAATATGTGTACATATTAGCTTAATATGTGTACATATTACCTAAAAATACTAGTGTCTTTCCCACAAGGTTACTATATAGCAGGAAAAAATTAGATACACATGTTTTGACTGGGAAATAATTAATGATTATTAATATGCCATATTGAGAATGGCTAGGTATAGCTCCATGTAAGATGATGATGCTAGGATCTTTAAATCAGAAAAAAAACCTGATAAAGATTTGGAAAGTTTGAGCCCAGTAAATAGAATAGGTTGGGAAGAGATTTTAACAGTAGTTGAAATACAGTAATACAGTGAAGTAGTTTTTTTGATGGGGATCGAACCCAGGGCCTGCACATGCAAGTTCTCCTGAGCTACATCCCATCCCTATCCCTGAAGAAACATTTTAATCTATATTTGAAATGATTGTAGTGGTAGCTATAGAAATGAAACAAAGAAGCTATTATCGTGACCATTTTAGAAATGTTTATTTCTCAAACACACCCATTAAGTTTAAAAATTAACATGCCCCAAGTTGTGACTTGAGAGCCAACTTGTTTATTCGGTAGCAAAGGAGATTTTCATTTTCACATAGTGTGAAACCATAGTACTTATGATTTTCTCTTTCCTCGTTGACCTTTGACTACTTAAACAGTATTTTTAAATGTTTTATTTTTGAAAGACTCTTGAGTTGTGTGCACAACATATCTATAGCACTAAGTATCTCAGCTTTTTCTGAGTTAATGTTTTTTCTTTAAAGTTGAGAAGATCATAGTCTTAATGTCATACTATATTATATTTGAACTATTAAAAGTTATAAGCATAGTGCTTTATTTTAGCATGAACACTTTCTTCCCACAGATGTGAACTGGGGATCCTCTACACAGGCTCTGACTTACCTGAATGCACTGCAGCACTCAATTCGTCTTTCTGGAGTAGAAGATCATGTGAAAAACTTCAGGTAGGTGAAGAGGTAATGTGGAAAACACTTCCCTGTAGCCAGCCAGTTCTTAAACTACTGTTCAGTAACATTTTTATATGTTGATATGCATAGAACAGTATGTCTTGTTAACTTGGTCTTGGGCAATCATTTAAAACAAAATTCTACAAAGAAAAATTATCATCTTCCTTAGAAAAATGTTATATGAAAGTTTGGAAGCGCTCTCATCTGAAAACTTTTAAATGATAGGTACCATAAAAGTTATTTTTCCTCCGTGGCCATTGATGTTATATAACCATTTGTATGGTATGTTATACGTATGGGGAAAAGAAAAAGGAATGCAAACCCTGAGAGGAAAGCTTTAATTTTACATACTCTGGCATTTGATACCAACAATAATTTATATGACACAGAAACAAATTATTCTTTCACGTAAAAAGTGGCATCTCATAATTGAAGGAGTGTATGAGAGGCAAAGTTAATTTGCCACCAATAAAATTCTTTTGCTTTCTCTTATTACAATAACTGAGAAAATTTTAAAGTTTTTTTAATCCCTATTTGACATTTTATTTTATTATTTTGTTTTAATTTTTACTTTATTCATATGTGCATACAATGTTTGGGTCATTTCTCCCCCTTCCCCCTCCCCTTCCCCCCCATCCCCTCACTACTCGGCAGAAACTATTCTGCCCTTATTTCTAATTTTGTTGTAGAGAGAGTATAAGCTACAATAGGAAGGAACAAGGGTTTTTGCTGGTTGAGATAAGGATAGCTATACAGGGAGTTGACTCACATTGATTTCCTGTGCGTGGGTGTTACCTTCTAGGTTAATTCTTTTTGATCTCACCTTTTCTCTAGTTCCTGTTCCCCTTTTCCTATTGGCCTCAGTTGCTTTTAAGGTATCTGCTTTGGTTCTCTGCGTTAAGGGCAACAAATGCTAGCTCATTTTTTAGGTGTCTTACCTATCCTCACCCCTCCCTTGTGTGCTCTCGCTTTTATCATGTGCTCAAAGTCCAATCCCCTTGTTGTGTTTGCCCTTGATGTAATGTCCGCATATGAGGGAGAACATATTGGTCTTTTGGGCCAGGCTAACCTCACTCAGAATGATGTTCTCCAATTCCATCCATTTACCAGCGAATGATAACATTTTGTTCTTCTTTGTGGCTGCATAAAATTGCATTGTGTATAGATACCACAGTTTCTTAATCCATTCGTCAGTGGTGGGGCATCTTGGCTGTTTCCATAACTTGGCTATTGTGAATAGTGCCGCAATAAGCATGGGTGTGCAGGTGCCTCTGGAGTAACCTGTGTCCCAGTCTTTTGGTTATATCCCCAAGAATCTACCCCAGCATCTTCAGTGCTGGGATTATAGAGATGTACCACCATGCCTAATGCTTTTTAGTTTCTATCAGAATTTCACATTAATGTATTATAAAAAGGAGAAACTAGAATGTAAGATTGGCCTGAAAACCAGTACTTGTCTCACTGTCAATATCCCTTTTTCTCTTCCACTACAGGCAGTCACTTTCAACTCTTAGCTGATTTTGTTTTTAAGTATACCATGTTTGTGTCGTTGGACTTCCTGATTTTTACTTCTAGGCATTATCTATTGATGTTGCTCACCTGCCCAACATATGCACATGCCCTTGCCTTTACCCTCTCCTATATACACTTTCATGTTGCTGTTTTGCTTAGATCAAACTCTTTACAACTAAGCTGTGTAGTAAATTATGGTTGCTCTTTCTTGGTTGCACAACTTTTTTGTTTTCCTTGAAGTTAGTATTTATTTTTTTCCCAAAAAGTTCTACTTTTTGATTATCACTTTTTAGCAAAACTTGCTAGATAATTTTGTTTCCTTCATTTACAGTTATTATTTCCTTGAAATTTCATTCTCGGTGTTTCCTGTTTCTTTAATTTGGGTTATTGAATTTAGCCTTGTCTGAAGTGAAGTATTTGTAATCCTCAGCAGGGAAAGTCTGCATTGGTGAGTGGGCCTTGTCAGTTGAAGTCCTTAATGTAGATTAATGTGGTTTTTGCTCATTCTTTGAGGAATTTAAGTCATCTTAAAGGCTTTCTTTTTGATCTGATTAGTTTTTCCCAGAAATGAATCTTTTAATCTTCTGTTGTATATAAAGTCGTTGCTACCATAGTTCTCAGAGAGAGGTGGAAAAGGAGTTTGGAAGTTTTGGTGTTTTGTATATAGACATTCTCCTAACTCCCCTAGTTTGAATAGCTTACTTGTACCTTTAGCTATTTGTCATGTGTCCCAGACCAGAGGTCTTCTCTAGTGAATAAGCCAGATAGAATTAGGCACAGGGGCAGCTACCCATCATAGTGATGGAAACAGTTTCTGCCTTTCTAGTTGCCTGTTACAGACACTTTAACCCAGTCCTCCTTATTTGCATTTCTTTAACTCACTGTCCCTGTCACTTCCACAGGTACTTAGTGCTATCTCCTTGTAAGCATTTTAATGATTTTTAGGTATAAAATCAGGTACCTTCACAGTTTTCTTATGCTCATTTAGGATTGAGTCTTTTCCTTCACACTTCTTCCATTAGCTTTCAGTATTTCAGTGCTATTTTCTCTCATTTTTCTCTTTTTTTAAAATCTCTTTTTATTTTGGAAATTTTCAAGGAAGGAGTTAAAATCAAGGCAAATGCTTACTCTGCCATTGTTAATTCAGTTTTCCTAATATATTTTGTAGTATATGACTTTGTACTGTTTTCTGTTTGGCAAAGATAAGTACAAGTTAACTTCTCACAGTAATAGGTTATGTTATGTTATGTTATTACCATAACAGAAAGACTAAAAAAATACAGTAGTTTGTTGTCATGTGCTAGTCCAGAGCTAAATGAATGGATGGTTCATGGCAAGTAGGCAGATTTGCTCCATTTAGTCATTTGGGACCCCGTTCCTTATGTCTTACCAGTCGTCCAGTCCCCAAAAGATGTTTTTACCTGTGTGGTCAAAGTTGCTACCATGCCCATGGACTAGGAAAGAAAGTGTAAAGGAGAACAGGAAATAAAGGACATAAATGTTTTGTGGACTGTCAGTCACTCATAGGAGCACAGTTAGCTCCTAGGAAGGCCAGGAAATGTCTTCTGTAGTTGGGGAGCCATGTAACCTGCTAAACATTAGAAAGGTAGGCATTAGTAGTCTGGCCATAGGGCATGATGTCATGTTTGATTGCCCCAAAGCTGCTTTCCCAGACAGAATTGATTTTTCAGCTAATTGGCTAAAATTCTGAATACCTTGGCATTAAAAAAAAAGTCTTTATTCAAGTTTTCATGCTTATTTAGGCATGAAAAGTTAATACTTAAGTTAGAAATTTTAGTCTACTATTTACATTTTACTAAAAGATTAATTATAGAAGGTATTATTTTAAAGAACTTTTAGTAATAAAATGGATACCTGAACATTTTTTCATTAAACAAGATTGACTTCTGCTTCTAGTCGGTTTGCAAAGGCAGTTGAATTCAATTGGGCATTTACTATCATAATTATAATGAAAAGCTTTTAGTTCAAATAGAACTTTTAGTTTAAATCTCCATAGGTGATTTTACTTATATGACAGTAGTCATCAAAATTAAACTAGATTAGAGAGGGCTGGTAAGTAGAAGTAATTATGATGAAGTCAAGCTAACTGATTTCCAAACTAGTCAGGAAGCTTCGAAAGCTCTGTGAAAGAATTATTACCTTTGGAAGATGAAAAGTTATTACAAATTTTTTTAATTAGCATGATAATTTCTTTCCATAGTACTAGCAGAATATTGGCGTATAATACTGCCTGTTGTTTTAGAGGGATATTTGACATGATATTTGTTCTAAGAAGGTTTTGTGTTTTCATTTCTCATGTACCAGAAAGGGGTGGTTAAAAGTCATCTCCTAGAAGGATCCTGTAGCCCATGTCTCATGGACAAAGAAACAGCTAAAAATCATGTCCTTGTTGATGAAGATAAACTTCTCTAATTTTGTTTGTTTCGAATTAGGCCACAGTGCCTTGTTATGACAGGTTCTCCAAACTCACGCCCAGCTTTACTTCATCTTGTTCATGATTTCACAAAAAATGTTGGTTTGATGATCTGTGGCCATGTGCATATGGTAAGTATCAATTTTGTTTTCTGTGTTAAAATTCTTTTCAGTCCAAAATGTGGAATTTGTAGGCCTGTCTAGATTGGAAATAAAGGTCTTTTTTTAAAAATTAATGTATATTAATTATACAAAGGGATTTCACTATGATATTTCCATACATGCATGTAATGTACTTTGGTCACTCACCGGTTACTCTTTCTTTATCCACCCTCCACCCCCACTTTTTTTTGCACACAATTTTAATGGGTTTCATTATGACATTTTTGTATGTGTATATATTTTGATCATATTTACCCCTCCATCACTCTCTAATTTCTCCTTCCCTTCTTCTGCTGATTCCCTTTCAAATAGTTTTCTTTTTATATTCTTATACCTTAAAAAAAAAAAAAAACAAATTGGGGAGTCTAGACTCTACAGTTGGGTTTCTTTGTGTGGTCGGGGGGAGTGGGGGTGCTGTAATGGGGGTTGAACCCAGAGCCTTGCACTGTACCACTTGAGCTATGCCTCTAGATGTTTGTTTTCTTCTAAGTATTTTTGCCTCTAAACACTTTCAAAGTAGTATTTTTAAAAAGATTTCGACACTTTGCATTTTCGTTTTTTAACTAGGAGTAAGAAAATTGTTTTAAAATGCTGGTAAACTTTCAATCAAAAGTAGTTTTTTGTTTTTTGGCATCGACTACACTGGATGGTAGCTAATCTGGTCTGTATAAAAAATTTAGAATGTTTATTTGTTAGTATTTTTTTTCCTCCAAACTCTGTTGTTCACCTATTTATGGTGCTGGATATGCGTGTTTGCCCCATGTCTCAACCTCTGCCAGAGTTGCTCTTCTATTTGTATAGGGACAAAGTCAAGTCTGTGTGTGTGGAGGGGGGGAGGGCAGGGTATGTTGGTGGAATGATGCATGCAGACACTGACCCCACTTGGAATGTGTAGAGTTTCCTATTTTGTCTCCAGGTTGATCAACTCAAGACAGGGTCTTGAGCACAAGACATTACAAACGAGGCAGTTTCCCTACTAGGAATGAAAAGTTGTATTTTCCTTTGCTTATTCATGTTTAGGGTATGTATATATATATATATATATATATATATATATATAAAACACATGCATTGTTTACAAGGTTATAAATAGAATTCTGAGTTTAGAGAGCTCATTTCTTCTGTTACTTTACCCCTTTAATGGGCAATATAAAGAAAAAATACTAATGGTTAGGTCACTTTGATTTTCATGATATTCTTAAGTTATTGAGAACTAATGACTCAGACATTGAGGCCAGACAAAAGCAACTTTCTGTAGAAAAATAGAAGGCTCTTATTTGTTCTGTGCAATCTCTTTTCAATTTTCAATAATTTCTTTTCTCAATAATTTAGTATAATATTTTTAAAAAATTTAAGTTGGTTTTTCTTCCTTCTCCCGGGATTACCTTTATTGCTCTGCAAATTTTACCTTTTTTTAACCTTAAATGTTTATAATTTTTATTTATGAATTAAAATGTCAAATTAGGTTGTGTTTAGGTTCAGCATTGGAAATTGTCATTTATTATTAAAAGAGAATGCTGTTCTATAAATATGAATGTAATTTTTATTATCATTTTCTTTTTTGTTGTGCTAAGTGGGAGTATATTGTGGCATTTACAAAAGTTCTTAACAATATATTGTACTTGAATTCACCCCTCCACCATTCTCCCTTAAACCCCCCTCCTGCCATTCCTCAAATAGTTTCAGCAGGTCTCGTTTTCCATTTAAATACATGTGTACACAGTATTTGTACCATATTCATTCTCCTATATCCTTTCCACACCTTCTCCCCCCTCCTGTTGGTACCATCCACTCTCCCGCCAGGCAGGATTCACTGGCATGAGAATGAAATGCTGTTATTGCAGTTCTCTACCCCAACAGTTACACACCTTTTCTCAACCCAGAATAACAAGATGTGAAATAGATTTTTTTTTTTTAATGTAAAGGGTCCTCGACGACAAGCCATGAAAGAGATGTCCATTGATCAAGCCAAGTATCAACGATGGCTGATTAAAAACAAAATGAAGGCTTTTTATGCTCCAGTTCATGCAGATGACTTGAGAGAAGGGGCACAGTACTTGATGCAGGTGAGTGAGTCACCCTTTCAGATGTCTGCACTTTACTTTCATATTAGCTTTTGGGAGGCAGGTAGTACTGGGGTTTTAACTCAGTTCCCCACACTTGGTAGGCAAGCACTCTACCATTTGAGCCATGCCCTCAACCCTTGTATAACTTAAAAACTTTTTATTCTAGATTTCATTCTTTATATTAATACCAATATGTGGTAAATCTTTTTAAATATATTTAAGGTAGACTACTAAGTTGTGTTTTTTATATATAATTTAGAACTAAGACTATTGAAATTTTGTATTGTTGGCTGGCAGCAAAGAACCTCTTTGAAAATTGTCTTAGCCTGTTGCCCTTCTATAAAATATTTTGTATTCATTCCCTGCTGTACCTCACTTAGTTGTTTATATGAGATTGTTAACAATCCTTGAATTTTTTTTTTAATTCTAGACCCTTACATTACTATTTATTTGCTAGCACTAAATTTAGATTTTATTTCAGTTTTTTGTATTGCATAGTAACCAGCAGAGTAGATTTGGAATCAGTGCTAAGTTTAAATGCTAGTACTACTGCTTCCTTATTATTTATTTTAGATTAAGCAAGTTGCTAACTTCTGAATTCAGTTCTCTCCATCCTAAAGGGGGAGATAAATAGGCTGAGACCACGTTTACCAATTTATTTTTACAAGAACTCCTTTCTGAAAAGGAAAACAGCTTATCCAAAAGTATTCTGTATAAACAGTGTCATTGGTGTTATTATCTTCCCAGTCCTTTCTCTTGTATCTTAGAACTTAGTTAAGAATAGCCAAGGCAGTCTTCAGGAAGAATAAAGGATGGAAGTTAGGTTGCTAAGTAATTAAAGACATTGAAATATTGAAAGTGGTGTTATTCAAATAAATGTAGAAAGGAGAAGAAATAGAGCACTTATATTGGAAATTTATCATAAATAGAAATGGCATTGAAAGGAAGGCTTAGGACAATTAATTATCCATGTGAAATAGATCCTCACGAAGGTCAAAGAAAAATCATTTTCAAATGGATTAATGACCTAAATATAAAATGCAAATTAAAAAAAAATTTGAGAATACAGAAAATTTTGTAGGAAGAATTTTTTAAACACAGAAAATCAAACTCTGAAGAATTGATTAGTAGTTTTTTAGCTTAAGTTGAAAACTGAGCTTTTAAAGAACATGAAAATGAAAAGGAAGCAACAGACAAGAAACAATAGTAATTTTAACATGATTAACAAAGGAATGGTCCAAAAGATATAAGAAAGTCAGTAAAGGGGGAAAAAAAAAGAGTGAAAGATACAAGTAGAAGAGGAAAACTAAATAACAAATAAAAATTAAAGCCAATTCCATACCTATTAGATTGATCAAAAATTATATCTGTAAAGTATTAGAAGTGGTGCAGAGCAATTAGAAATCTTGGAATGGCTGTGGAAATTTAGATTGGATAACAGTCTAACAATTTGAAGGACATTTCATTCTTAAGTGAATACTTTAGAAATTCTTGCACATGTAAAGAAGCCTGTACCATACTTCATGTCAGAATCATTTGTAATAGCTAAAAAGAACTAGAAGTAACTCAACAAACATCAGAAAATAGAAAATTATAGCATCATCTACAATAGAATTCTATACAGTGGTATAAAGGAACTATACATAGCAATTGAGGTAAAACCTCAAAAACAATGTAAGTATCTATTTAAATATTTCAGGTACAGTGCTATCCTTTTTGTTGTGCTGGAGTTTGAATTCAGGGCTTTGCAATTGCTAGGCAGGTGCTCTACTGCTTGAGCCATACCTCTAGTCTGAGTGGAAAAATGGTCTTTGATTTTGTACAATTTATATGAACATTTTGTTAACCATTTTATGTATAAAATAAGTTTTATGAAGGAATCCTTCCCTGCTTGTTCTTAAACATCAGTGTGTGTCAGAATTACTTGTTAGACTTGTTAAAGTATAGATTCTGGATCCACATCACAGTGAGGCAGAAGGTTTGTGATGAGGCCCAAGAATTTGCATTTCTAATAAAGTTTCCAGGTGATACTACTGCTGGTCCAATTCAGGGGCCACACTTTAAGAACTATTACCCTAGGAGGTTTCTGTATTATAAGTGGCAATATTACAAATTTTCAAGAGTTACAACCCATCCTCCTAATTGTCTCATCCACTTAATATACCCCAGTGGGTCCTGAAAATTTCATCAGTGTGAGGCAAAGTAGAATCAGTAGAAAAGTGTTATTTTGAGATTGCCCTGCAAACATGCAAATGCAACACAACAAAGATTGCTGAAGAGTGACTATGCTGGTGGCAGAATAATGCTCAGGAATTATATGAAATATCCTTACTAATAGATGCCAGTTGCTTTGTAGAGCTAATAGCTGTGGAATAACTAATAAGGTTTTCACTGAAAGGATTTTTTTCCTTTCTACTTGAGGAAAGCTGTTATATAAAGTGACATGCCCATATATCTTTATTGCTTAGAGTTTTCAGAAGGTGCTTATATACAGTAATTTCTTCAGTGTCTAATTTTATAGTTCTAGAGATGCTGTTTTCAAATGACTCTGCTGTTTGTTTTAGTAGGCCTTGCACTTAATTTCTGTTACCTTTCTGTCTAGTTGCTAATTATAATAATAATAATTTATCATTAAGCTAGCATTTGAACATCCAGCCTACATAAAACAATTTAAGATTGCATTATCTTAAAAAGAGACAACCTTATTAAACCTTATTAACCTTGTTTAAAGTACACTTTGACAGTGAGACAGTTGCACTGCTAACTTCTTCACTTGTATATTTGGACTCTTCTTTTTTCTTTTTTAAGGCAGTAGCCACTTGATTGTCAACATGATTTTAAACCTTTATGCTAAATACCAAAATTACATTGTTATTAATGAAAACTCCAGATTATTTCATGATGGCTCTTCAGTCAGATGCATCTTGTTTAGGATTTTTATGTAAACATAATTTTTTTTTTCCTGGAAAAATACTGTCAGTATATCTGAGTGGTATATGCTTAGTGTTCTGTCACTTCTTCATCAATCACATGTTGAAATAAACAGTGGTTGAAAAAAAATGTGTCCTAAAATTAGTAGACCAAAAGAATTAAAAATTGCTAATAAAATTATGTTAAAGGTAAATTTATATTCATATTGTATAGCTGGAATCTAATTATAGATTATGCTGTGAGATATTAACTTACAAGAATATGAGGCCATCTCTATTAACTAAACTTTTCAAAACTAACTTCTGAATTTTTAAAAGTAAGGTAGATCTCATGACAGACAACACTCAATTAAGTTTAGGTAGCTATAACATTTGGAAGTGTATTAACTTAATCATGAAAGACAAAAATGAAAAACCACTTGCCTTTGGGAAGCGTTTCTTCCTACTATTATAAGAGTGCTTATAGTGACACACAGACAGTTATAACAAACTAAATGTACTTCTTATAAGTGAATTGTACTGTTAGTTATAGAAAACATTGTTAAGCTTATGAAGAAATAACACAAGTGGAATGTTTGAAACTAGTGGTCAACTTCAGATGATTGAATTTTGATGTAATCACTTAGAATTACAGAATGCATGAAGAACTGATTTTCTATCCATTGCTAAGGAAATATGTTCTGGAAAAGATATATTTTCAGTGATAAAGTGAAAACATTACCCTCTAAATAGCTACTCTGATTAGGATTTGTGAATGATTCAGAGGTTAGAGTGATTTATGTAAAATTTCTTTATGTAGTCATTTCAGGGGAAGTTACTGCAATAATGAAGTTGGAAGCAAAAGTGCTCAAAACATACATGATGTTTTTTGTTAATTTTATAAAAGTAAAATGTTAGGGTGCGGCCTAGTGTGGTAGAGTATATGTCTTAACATGTTTAAAGTCCTGAGTTCTATCCCCAGCACCAAGATAAATTAATAAATAAACCTTTTAATTACAACAGGATTATGACAGATTTGTGATGAGAAGAGTGATCCTGACAATACTTTGTACTGTTAAGAAGTTACTAGTTACCTTGTGACTTAACTTTTTTTTTGGTGGAATGGGGTTTTGAGCTCAAAGCTTCATGCTTGCAAAGCAGGCACTCTTATCGCTTGAGCCGACTTCCAGTCCATTTTGCTGTGGTTATTTTGGAGATGGAGTCTCACAAACTACTTATTCAGAATGGCCTCAAACCACGATCCTACTGATCTCAGCCTCCCAAGTAGCTAGGAGTATAAGTGTGAGCCACAAGCATCTGGCTGTGACTTAGCTCCTTTAAAGAGCTATCAAACCTAAGTACAATTCTTTGTTTCCTTTTATAACCCCATCACTCCCTCCCACAAATACATCATAAAAAAATTAAAATATGTGTGATTAGTGGCTACCCAGCTGAGAGTTTTAGTTTCAAGAAAAAATAGATTCTTTATCTGTCCCTTCAAGCAAAGATGTTGCTTTTAATATTGAATATGAAAAATGTTTTGAATGAAATTTGAGCATGCATGGAATATTTTGAAGATGAGTGGAAGCTTTGGAGATTAGAGATACTTCTGAACCGTAATTATTCCAAGTACATAGAACAGTGGCACATGGTCAGACCTTCACTAGATATTTGTATCAATTTAATCTTTTGTGAAAAATGATTTAAGTGTATTACTTAGAACCATATATAAAAATGGTTCTCAGAATGGATCCACAACAAAATATGAGCTAAAACCATAAAACTTAGAGGAAAATGGAGATAAATCTATATGACCTTAGATTTGGCAATAGACAACTAAACAAGACACCAAAAGTGAACATCAAAAGAAAAATAAGTTGGATATATTCAAAATTAAAAAGTTTTGTGCACCAGAGGACAATATAAAGAAAGTGAAAGGGGAACCTACAGAATGTGGCATTACCAATTGAGATAATTCAGTTTATAATTGAATAAATCTGATAAGGGGTTAATATTGAGAATATATAAAGAGCGCCTAAGAACAGTAATGATAAAAACAACAGAATTGTAAAATTTAAAGAACCGAATAAACATTTCTTGGAGACTAAAAGGATATAAAAATAGCCAATTAGCACATGAGAAGATGTTCAGGATCATTAGTTATTAAGGAAATGCAAATCAAACCCCTACTAGAATAGCTGTAATTTTGAAATCAGAAAATAAGTGTTCAGCATTCTGTTACCAGATAAATGGATAAATAAAATGTGTGTAGGTGTATATGTGTGTATATAATATTATTCAACTATAAAAAGGAGTGAAATTGTGCCACAGAAAGGGAAATAAGCTAGACATCAAAGGCCAACTTCTGTTTTTTACAGAAAATAACTAGAATAGGCAGATGAATAGAGAAGTAGACTAGATGTTACCAGGAACTGGAGGGAGAAGAGAATTGGTAGTTGTTACTTAGTGGTTATAGAGTTTCTAATTGGGTGATAAAAAGGTTTTAGAAATAAATATTGGTGTTGGTTGTATAGCATTGTGAATCTAATCAGTACCTCTTTTAAAAGGCTTTTTTTGTTGTTATTTTTTAACCGCAATTAAGAATTTTCAAAAGCCCCCCAAATCTAAGTGTAATCTTAAACATGGAATTTTCCAGTGTGTTTTATTTTACTTTATTTTGATTTAATTTTTTTTTTTTGATGTTGGTACTAGGGTTTGAACTTGGCCTCAATGTGTTCGAGGCAGGAGCTCTACACTTGAGCCATACCCCAAGCCCTTTTTTGCTTTTAGCTATTTTTCAGACGCCAGGGCCAACTTCAGACCACAGACCTACCCACTGTGAAGCTAGGACCACAGGTGCACACCACCACACCCAGCTCTTTGATTGGTGGGATCTTGTTTACTTTTTGCTGGGGATAGCCTTGAACCATAATCCTCCTGTTAGTGATGGGATTCCAGGTGTGACCCACCACACCTGGCCTCCAGTGTGTTTTAAAAGCTTATAAAAGAAGAAACTTTACTGGGCTTTAAGGCATATTTGTTAAGTACGTTGAATTGAAACTCCTTGAGATTACAAAATGAGCCACATTTTTTCAGAAACTTTTGCATGATTGATGGAATTCACATTTTACTATTGGTGTGATTCAGAACTACGGCCATTTGGACTTTTGATGCAACTGAATTGTTAGGATTTTTTTTTAATGTTATTTTTCAGTAAAAATATGAAAATTTTGGTAAATCATAAAAGTATAGCAAAGTGCATTTAGAACTTTTCAAGTATTTGGTTTTTAAATTGTTTGTGTATGTTTAATCATAAGTAATATGTGATTAATGTAGTATCTAATTTTTAAGTCAATATTCATGTATTGGATGCTAAAGAATTTTAAGGAAATTATTTAGAGGCAGTCACTTTGGAGGATTTTTATTCTCTTGAACCATTTTCTTGAATAGTACATATTTGAAGTTGTATTTATCATATATTTTAGGCTGCTGGTCTTGGTCGCATGAAACCAAACACACTTGTCCTTGGATTTAAGAAAGATTGGTTACAAGCAGATATGAGGGATGTGGATATGTATATAAACTTATTTCAGTAAGTATCTTTTTAATTCAGTAATTTAGTTGATTCAGAAAATGTTACTTTTGAAAGCTTTCATTCATTTTTGAACCTTGCTTCTCATATAGTGTCTTCTAGCAGAAGCATAAGAAGAAGAATCACACAAGGTGTCTGAGGTTTAGTTTGGTGATCTTTAACAAAATATTACGTGGATATATGTATATATGCAAACAGACATACACAAGAGTATATGCATTATGTATATATACAAAATATTTCAATTTATTTGCTGTTTTATACCTAAGACATACCATTACAGATGTATGTGTACATATATAGGTAAATACACATACACAAATGTGTGTGTATACTCTGGTTTCCCATTTAATGTAGTAAGCTTTTTCCTATTCTTAAGTTACTGCTGAGCAGAGATCCCAAACATTAGCAGATCCATCACCCTCTGGACTGTCACAACAATGTCTTAATGTCTCACACGGAGGAATGGCATTTCATCACTGATACCAGCCTCAGAGGTTTAATTTTGTTCCTCTCTGAAATGAATTTTGCAGTTAGTCATTTGGTTCATCTATTAAATTATTTATATTTCTTTTACTGTTTGCTTTTTCCATGTACTTGAAGTGTTAAGTTCTAAGTTACTATTCACTTTTCAGTGGTAGTTTCAATGATTTCTCTTATACAACTCTTTTTTTTTTTTATGTCACTTTAACTTCCTTCTTAGTGTTTGTCTAGTGTGGTTTTTTTTATTCTTTGGTTATTTTGTCTTTCTGTTCATGGGTTTTTGTGTATGTAGCTCTTCATGTAATCTGCTACCCGTGCTCTTTGGAACTGAGTTAATGAAAAGAATAAAACATCCTTTTTCTTTTTTGCCAGATTTCTTCGTAATCTAAAAAGGTCCTCCTAGATTCTAGAAGTTGCTTAACAAATCTATTTATCTTACTCACACGAAGGTCAAGCACTTCCTTTCACTATGCCATACTCAATTGAAGAGTATTTTTCTTGTTATAGTCACTGATGAAATACTGTACAATAATGTGAGAATAGTTGCATCAGTTGTTATTTCAAACAATTTGTCCTTTAAAAAAAAAACAGAAACCCTTGTAATAGCACACTAGTTCTAAGATCAAACTCAAGTCAAGTCATTTTCTCTATGAATTTTGATATGTTGGACCTTAACTCACTGGAGTTATCCCTCTCCCTGGAACTCCTGTTGTGTCTAAAATATGAAATGATTATTTGCCTGTGTCTCACATAGGGTAGCTTTGTTTTCTTAGCTTTATTTGAAAAGTTTTTGAAGAAAAATCTTGAGCTCATACTCTGCTTTTAAAAAACTGTTTGTATTGACTAGTAATACACAGTGTATTTTTGAAGATTTCTCAGCTAACTATTAATGCTTTTTAGTAAGATTAACTAAGCCTGTGCTGGTTTTGTATGTTGTGAGTGCTGTTTGGCTTTGTGTTACCCCTTTTTTATAAGCAAAATCTCACCACAGCTTTCTAATTCTATACTCAGTATATTTGGGAACTAGGGAAAGAAAGTGGAAACAACAATTAAATCATGTACCTCATGAGGCATAAAGTCTGTGAGCCATGGTCTGTGTTTTTTTTTCTCTCAAGGCTCAATACTAGTAACATGGAATAATAGTCCTAGAAAACAGAACAATTGACATTTTTGCAAGCAATTCTTTCATATATTTACCACATTGTTATTAGTTGTATTTGCTCATAATGGGAGCCCTGGAAGGAGTCAGACTCTGTGTGTGTGTGTGTGTAGAATATTGCTCTATGGAAATTAACGGTCCTGTTAAAACAGTGACACTGTTCATTCTTTATCTTGTGATACTTCCCTAATTCCCCTCATGTTTAGGTTGTGATTCTAAATACTTTGTATAATTGAGATGTGCTTTGCATATTTTATGTTTGTTAAGCGTATGTAAGGTCTACAACCACAAATCAGTTTTATAGCCTACACTTAAAACATGTAGCTGTTTTGATCCAAAATAAACTTTAGATGCTATATTTTCTGGGTTTTCTTTAAAGAAATAGATTTTTATTTAGTGTATTTATTAGACATTTTTAAATACCTATAGTTATTTCTTCTTTAGTATATGTCCCTCAGGATGTAGTTAAGAAAAGTTAGCATGTCTACTAAATTTCTTTCCCTTATAAATCTCTTTTGACTTTAGTTAGTTCATCATAAGAACGAAGCCAAATTGTCTATGTTTCAAAAAATAACAAAACCTCTTTTATAACTGCATATTATACCCTAAATACATTCTTCACTTGTCAATAGGAGCAATAATTTGGCCATCTTATTAGATTTAAATGTTCTTATTATATGTAGCTATATATTAATACAGTTTTTCATGTACAGTGAATGTTGATTGCTTGGATAATTAAAAATAATTAGAAATAAAGATTAAACTCTACCACTCTTTGAGAACAACTTAAAGTTTTGAAGTTTAAAATTATTTCAGTAGACTTGAAGAAAAATGTGGGCCAAAATTAAGGTTTTTGGTCAGAGTTTATTGTGGTTTTAGAGCTGCCCTCAAGGTTTTAATGTGTATAAAATCTTTGCATTAGTATTTAAAACTACCTTTGTGAAGATCAAAAACTTAAATACCTCCCTTTCAGAAATTTCTTCAACCTCTACAGTCTGCTCTCATTCTAAATAGAATCTGGTTTTGTCCTTATATATTTCCCTCAGCTTTAAAGGTATATATACAGCCTAAATGTAAATATGGTAGGAAAATGGAAAGTTGGTTTTCCACAGTTTTACTCTGTAGGATAAAAATACTGTTAGCGCTTTAAACAGCTGCTGTAACTAGAATTTCAGTACGGTATCTGTCACTTAATGTTGGTAGATGCACTCTGAGAAATTTATCACTAGGTGATTCCATTGTTTAAGCATACAGAGTATAGTCACACAAACCTAGACGGTATAGTCTGCTACATATGTAGGCTCTATGATATATGGTCATGTATCCAATTTGTTATTAACTGACATTCCTTATGTCACATGATTACTCTAAAAGTCTATGCTTAGGTGTAGTTTTCAAGGGTACTACTGAAGAAAGGAAAGAAAAGGTATGGGTTTGAAACTAACACTATTCATATCTCATCAACTAGTTTTTAAAACAAATGTTAAAGCTGGAGGTAATTTGGATATTATCTATGATTGCCTTCATGTTATACAGAACCTAAACAAATTTTGTGATCCCCATCCCCCCATTATAGTGATGCCTTTGACATACAATATGGAGTAGTGGTTATCCGCCTAAAAGAAGGTCTGGATATATCTCATCTTCAAGGGCAAGGTAAATATTATTTAACATGAGTTAAATTATTTATTTGAAATATTTATTTGAAATAAATTACTATCTATTCTGTGTCACTTTTTCATAACTACCATCTATTTTGTGTCACTTTTTTCATGGCATTTAAAGATCAGATCTGTTTGTAATCCTCCAAAGTTTGTGCTTTCTCTTTCTACTAACCTTATAGTTACTGATTATTAATGGAGAGAATAGTGGTTTTATTATTGCAAATTGTAAAAATATTACTACATTTGTAAAAATATGTAAGTAAAATAATAATGTAAGGAAAATGTTTAAATCACTACTTAAGAAAGTAATGTCTTATACAAGAGTCATATTAATAATGAAAGTCTAAACTTTATCATGTTTTGTCTGTCTTTAGAAAAGACCCACTTAAAAAAAAATTATGGGCTAGACAAGTAGTTCAAGTGTTAGAGTGCCTGCCTAGCAAGTATGAGGCACTGGGTTCAACCCCCAACTTTGCCAAAAAACAACAAATAAGACCACTGTCATCTAAAAATAGTTACAGATTCATGGGAACGTGTAAGAAAAAATAGTAGAGATTCTGTGTACTCTTCATCTAGTGTTGTCATGTCCTCTCCCACATTGCTCATGGTAGCATTTTGCATATGTATAGTACTGTAGCAAAACCAGCAAATTCACATTGAAACAGTTTTTCCAGTTGTACATACACTTGTGTATGTGTATAGTTTTGTGTCATTTATCCTGTGTTGATTTGCATAACCAACACCATAATCAGGATGTAAAACTGTTACACCGTTACAGAAAGATCTCCCATATTCTCCTCTATAGCCCTCACCATACTCTTTTTGTTTCCCATCATTATGTATTGTCATGTCAAAAATATTAAATACGGTATAACTGTTAAAGATTTTCTAAAAGTGAAGGTTAAATTCTAATTAAGATATAATTGTTGCTTTTGCCAACTTTATAAAAACTTGGAATTTCCATATCCTCCAAGAATTTCCTGATAGTTTAAAGTATATTTGTATTATTATTATTAAGTACTGTTACTATAATTATCATTTTCTTCTTACAATTAACTAAATCATCAGAATTACATAAAAGGCACACAATGAACTTTTGTCATCTGGTTATGTATTTAAACTGTTTCAATCTTCTCACTTTCCTGTAATAATCTACAATTTTGAAAGAAACACTTTGAGGGCCTTATCCACATAATAAAAAAGTATGGCTTGATGAAAATGCATTTTCTCATCCTGAAGTGGGCTTGGCCAAAACACTCTTTAAAATCTCTTTTTTGCTCTTAAAGTGTTGTAGATTTAGGGCACCTGACTTATACCTTATTTACTCTGTATATTATAAGTAGTGTTCCCTTTCACTCAAAAAGTAACACACTTTGCCTATTAAGTTATACAGTTCTATCATTTTCTGAGGTTTGATGTGATTAACACTTTAAAAAAAGTATTTTTGTGTATTTATAATCATTATGAAAGTTTAAAAAAAGCTTTATCCTAAAAAGCCTTACCCATCACTAAGATTTGGATATAGGACTATAATTTGGCATAGGCATTCAGAGCACAGGTGTTGGAACCAGGTAGATCTTTTTTAGAAATACCAGCCTTCTCCCTTACTTTAGTAGCCTAAGCAAATTTGACGACTTCCAGACCTGTTATGTTTATCTGTTAACTGCATATGTCAGTGCAGTTATGTAATGGGGTTGTCATGAAGATTAAAGAGAAGATTAGGACTGTGAGCTCCTAGCATAGTACTGGTACCTGGGCTTCCAAAATGCTTATTGTTTGTCTTTGTCCACACAAATAAGTTAGCAGGGTTATGGACAGATTATCAATTCCATATTACATTTACCTTTATGGTAAGTGTTTGTGGTAGAAGTTAAATATTTACTAGCTCCTTGCACCCAAACGAGAATGAAACTGCTTTAAGAATGAACAAGTGGTACTTTCACAATGAGCTTATTAGGAAAATACTCTACCTCCGGTCTTGGCTTTGTAATTTGGGATAAACTTTTAGCGTTATGGGTCTTAATGTGCACATGAGCTTTTGCCATATTTTACATTTATTTATATTTGTAACTAACTTTGGGAGTAGAGTTGATTCACATATTATATATCATCCTTTTCTCTACCAGATTCTGTTACATGAATTTTATTTATTACTTATTCCCCAATTACCTAACTCAGATATTTTAGCCACTTGTGACCAACATATTTAAGTGAATAATCATTTCACACATTGTCAGTTGTTTATGTAATAAATCATTCATGATAAACTTTGCTTTAAAATATGCCTTTTAATTATTAAGCCATAATATCTTCTTGAGCAGTTAACATGTGATTTTAAATGCTACTTTAAATACTGTCATGTCTACAGAAGAATTACTGTCATCACAAGAGAAATCGCCTGGTGCCAAGGATGTGGTAGTAAATGTGGACTACAATAAAAAATCAGATTTGGATACTTCCAAACCGTCTGGTGAAAAATCTGTTGCACATAAAGGTAATTTTCATTCAAACAAGAAATTTTATTAATGATTATGTTTTGATTTCAGGGGAAATAGTTTTTTTTGTTGTTGTTGTTGGGTTTTTTGGTACTAGAGCTTGTACTCAGGGCCTTCACCTTGAGCCACTCTGCCAGCCCTTTTGTTTGTTTGTTTGTTTTTGTTTTGTGATGGGTATTTTCGAAATATGGTCTCGCAAACTATTTGCCCAGGCTGGCTTCAAACCTCAATTCTCCTGATCTCTGCCTCCTGAGTAGCTAGGACTACAGGTGTGAGCCACCACCACCCGGCTGGAAATAGTTTTTCTTAATGTAATATACATTATAAAGTTACTTTTTCTCAGATTTGGCACTTTTATTTCTAGTTGGGCAGGTAAAATTTATGTCTTTCAAAAATGGCTACAAAATCACTAGCTGTTTTAAGGAGTTTAAAGTAGATCATAGAACAAAACCCATGCCTATTATTTACTAACATGGTCTTGTGTGTTTTTCTCTATATTTGCTTTAAATACAGCATTTTACTTGGAATCATAGGTTCAATCTGAACTTGGAAACAATAAATCTCATGAGGTTTCCAGATAATTTCACCCACAAGCCTATGTGGTCATGTATGTGAGAAGGGATGAGGGATGACTTCCAAATCTTACTCTCCCACCCACACTCTCCTACCTCTGTTCAGACTAGTATCTCCATCTGTCCTACTTCCAGCTGATATGCAACAAGGGAGAAAAAATCTGCACTGTAAATCATCAAACCATAGCATACTTTGATTTCACTAAGATAATTACCATTATTTTTCTGAAATTGATAGCTTTGGACAAGTATGTTTCTGAAATTTATCTTAGATTATTTGAAAGCATTAATGTTGCTTTTTATTCCTTTGCTTCTTATATACCTTCTTTGCTTAGAGTAGTCATAGATAAAAGTGTAGCACCCATTGCCCCTTTCGTTTCTTTGCTGGCTTGAATCATAATTCTTTCCTGCTTTGCCTTAAAACACTATAAACTGATTGTCATCATTATTCTTACGTTCCTTCATTTACTTCAGTTAATGTATACATTCTTTCATTTCCTTCTGCTTTCTTTTCCCTTCATTTTTCTTGCCTAAAACATCCTTTCTGTACAGAGTCTGTTAGGAATTAATGTATGAAGTTGTATTGGGTAGAGAAGAACTGATTTATCAAGTAGCTACTCTGGGCACCTACATTAGCTTATTAATGTATATACAAGTCTCATGAATCATTATTTGTAAAGAATAGGAAACTGGGCCAGTACATTTCTACTCATCTTTCTATCATAAAAATCTACATACTTGTAAATTTGTTTAAGCCATTTTTAAATGTCAAGATTTGCTTGACATTTCTGAACTCTCTCAAGGGCCAACACTATTGATTGATTGGTGGGACTGAATGGAGTTTGAACTCAGGGCTTCATGCTTGCAAAACAGGCACTTTATTGCTTGAGTTCCACCTCCAGTCCATTTTGCTCTGATTATTTTGGAGATGGAGTCTCTTGAACTATTTGACCAACTATTTGGCCTTGAATCTTGATCCTCCCAATCTCAGCCTCTCAAGTAGCTAGAATTATAGGCAAGAACCACTGGTACCTGGCTCAAGGCAGATACTATTAAATATGTGTTTTATAAGGACGGTAATATTTAAAATTTAATGTAATAATTGGTTCTTTTTCCATAATGTGCATTAAAAGTAGCATATTTTATGTTTGTTTTCTATTTGCTCAATTTCACAAAACCAGCAGCATAGATACTATAGAGAAGTTTATACAGTGTTGAATAGTTTTGGGAATTAGGTGCAGTCTGATATAGTTATTACATAGTCATAGTATTTTATTATGTCTGTCTTGGTTATTGAGGCATATCATGTGTAAGGGGATGAACAGAACACCCTTTGAATACTTGCTTTGTTCCAGGCCCCGAGTTCATTGTATCAATGCTTGCAATATAACAACTTTTAAGAGGGAGATACTGCTGACCCTTTCTACAGATGAGGAAAGCAAATATTTAGGAAACAATTTCAAGTTCACATAACTAGGAAAGGGGTGGGGGTAATACTGGAATCCTGGGAGCCTAAGTCAAGATCCTCCTACAGAACATTCTTTCCTGTCCAGGTCCACAGTTTTATGTGCCTTATGCAAACAAATAATACAAACTTACATTCCCCCAAAAATGTATGTATACATTATATATACATTATATGCATACACATATAAATTTTATTTGAAGAAAGTACTCCTGTGTAACCTGGCATTTAGATAAAACAAAAGACTTCTAAGTTTAATAAGATTCCTTAATATTTCAAGTAGTGGTTAATACAAGATATACATTAAATGTTTCTAAAATTGGTTTTCAGTCATTTGCAGAGTGATGCAATGGCATGTTTAAAGTTTATGTATTATCTGCAAAGCCAATTTTTTTTAGTGTTATTGCTACTCTACAAGTTATTGTTTGGCATCTTCTCAACTAATTTCAAGCGGGAATGTGTAAAAGTTTACAAATTTATGGGAATAAAATTTCAGGGTGAAAATTATTTATCCTGCAGGGTCTAAAATGTTTGCTTTTTAAAATCTTGAACAGTCAGTGCAGAAAATATTAATCTTCAGTCTTGATCATTTTTCATGGACTATATCTTCATACTGTGTTTTGTTTGTAAATGTGCTCTATTTACATTTTCATTATTTTATGAATATAAAAGCAATTAACTTAATATTTTGTGTTTTTTAAACATAATCTAGATGAGGAAGAGGATGGCAAGACTCCAACTCAACCACTGTTGAAAAAAGGCAGGCATTTTTCATCATTTTATTTTAATCCCTCTTTTCATGCTGTTAACTCTTTAACTCCAACCTTATTATTTTCTTTTCTTACCTTAGTTTTTATTTCCATGGTGAGGTGATGTTACAGTTACCTATTAAATGCAGATTAGCAAAACTATTATTATTCCAACTAAATAGTTAAATCTTCCCAGGACAAGGTGATAAATCCCAGAAAGAACTTACAAATCATCATTGCATTTCTGAACTACTCAAACTCAGAAAGTCAGCATTTTTTTTTAATTTAAACTGCATGGTTTAGATAATAAGTAGAGACACTGAAAAAGGTTTCTTTACAGTGTCGCTTGCATTCTTTACCATCAGTTGTACCCAGCCAAGTCCTCAATTTTGATACTAATGTATTTTTCATTTCAAAAATTATAATATTTCTCACAGTCATGCTGCGTTTGGGAGATACACAGTCATGTCAGCGTACATGAATTTTGTGAGAAGGAGATAGAGGTGAGAGTTATGGAGCAGTGTGGTTTGGTAGCCATATTACTTCATCATGCAAAATCATTTGTCATGTTTGCATACATCATGGCAGCATGAAAAGTGAATGACATTCTGCAAAAGTGATGAGATTTCCGCCCGTGAATTTCTGATTTTAAAATTTTTGTATTGAAGTTTCATAACGGTCATTTGCTTATTCATAAGAGCCAGTTCTGTCTTTTGTTTTTAATTCCTGGGATTATAAATGGGAATTCCTTTGATATATAGTCTTTTATAGTTGGCAGTAGATGGGTACTGTGTACTCCTCTGAGGAGTTCCCACTGTCTTTCTGTGGTCCAAGAAAGATATAGTGGGTATATGGCTATAGAATTGTATGTTACATATTAAGAAGACAGAAGGTTGATAAAGATGGAGTTGTTTTTTCCACTAAAGTGTCACTGTAATAATTGTTAAGATTGTATTGGTATGTCTTTGGCTCCCTTCTGTCATTTATGATACAGATAACTTTATTTCTTGAAAAAATACTTTTTAAGCCTGAAGTCTTGAAATTACAGATTGCAAAAGAGGTTTCACACAACAGGTATAAATTTCATCTGTCTAGTTAGCCTAAAAGAACCTCCCAGAAAAACTAAACTCAGTAGTCAAGTACAATTTTTTGAGTAGTATATATGATTCTGTCACATTCATCATTGTGCTTCAAAGTACTAGAGATCGGGCAAAATTATTTGGATGAATTTGGCTACAGAAGTATTCATAAACATTTTAAAGTTTTTAAATAATAAGGCTACTGCAACCTTATGATGGGTGCCATATATAATTATTATAAATACTGAATATACAAAGCTAGGAAATTAATAGAAATTCAGCAAAAAAGGGCTTTTTAATATTTATTTCGTTACATTTATTTGTTGCTTGATCCTTTAGAGTCCAAAGGCCCTATTGCACCTTTAAATGTAGCTGACCAAAAGCTTCTTGAAGCTAGTACACAGTTTCAGAAAAAACAAGGAAAGAATACTATTGATGTCTGGTGGCTTTTTGATGATGGAGGTAAGTTTGTTAATATTTTTTTCAAGTTTAAATTTTACCAAAGATGTGAGAAGAGAATAGTACTAAGAAATGCAAAGTACCTTTCACCCATAGACCCCATTCAGGTTTTGTCAACATTTTCAAAAAGCACACAACTCAAATGAATCAGGCACAGTTGTTATGTGTCATCCCTGTCCTTCCTGTGGAAGTTGCTCAGTACCTCCTGAGCTTCCTGACCATAGCATTTTCTTTAGTATTGAAGACCATTTTGAAGAATGCGGCTCATTTTGGAATGCAGTGAGAGGTTTCATCATAATCAGTTTTGGGCAGTAACATCACAGAGGTGGTGCTGTGCTCTTCGGTATGCATTATGATGTTGGTTTGTCCCATCACTGAGGAGCTAATTTGAACCATTGAGTAAAGGGGTTCTGTTTGTTTTAAGCAGGCCAACCCACTGAAAAGTTGCTTTTATCCTCCTTATGATGATTACAGATACATGGGGGTTTACTTCAAGGCTATATAAATTTACCACTCTTCTTGCAACAGGAAGCATTGCATTGATTGATGTTTCTAAACTTACTCTTGTTTGTTGTGGTTGTCAGTCCCATAATTCCATCCTCATTTCTTAGTTGGTATTTTACTGTTAGGAAAAGCGTTCTCTTTTCATCTCTATGAATGAAATGACTCAGTAGAATATAATTTGTCACTCTTATTATTTGTTTTGATGTTCATATTGTCCATATTTAGCCAGCAGGACCTTCCTTAGGCTTAGTTTTGTCCATTTGTCATGCTCCACTCATTCTTGGAGTTGCTTTCTGACATAAGATGATGTTCTAGGCTCAGTTATTTTACTTTTCTCTACACGAGCCACAGAACGAACCTTTTATCCGACGAGTCCTGTTTAATTGAGAATAGTAATGATTAGGGTGCTAAATGTGCTTGTGGCTATTAAGATATTAGTGTTCTTAGGCAGAGCTGGAAAATATGCATATGTTTATATGTGTGTAAATATAAGATACTGAAACATAACTTCAGTCTACCTTCCCCTTTTAATGTTTCTCATATCAGGATCCAATTAGGTTCAATAAATATATTAATTTCCTCAGTTCTTCTTTCAGTGACTCATTTTCTAACTGCCAGGTTACTGTCCCATTTGGTCACCTTATTTGAAGAGCTATCTCTCCTCTTGCTTAGGCCTGCCTTAATGACTTTTCATCTTAAATTATCAAGGGAGGACAGAATGAAAAGTTTTATTTTAGGTTGAGTTGTAGTAAATATGCCTTTAGAGAATAAGGTGAAAATAAAAAAAATTGATACTTGCATTTAGTAAATGATTTGTTGTGTTTTTATAATTCAGGTTTGACCTTGTTAATACCTTATCTTCTGACTACCAAGAAAAAGTGGAAAGAATGTAAGATCAGAGTATTTATTGGTGGAAAAATAAACAGAATAGACCATGACCGGAGAGCGTAAGTGTATTTTAATTTGGAGGGCATTAGTCTAATGGCACTTCATTATTATAATACAGATTTGATAGAATAAAAATTTGACAACCCAGAAAATGCCAATCATATTGCTCTGTTCTATCCTGAACCTAAGAGATTCTAGTTAAGTGAAGCTTCATTCACTTTAATTTGGTCTTTATATTTAAGTTATAAATTAATAATTTTACTTTAATGCAGTATTTTTAACAGGTTGGGATTTTAGAACATTTTTATTAAATTCTTACATTAAGTGTATCTTACCATGAAAGCAGATCTTTTTTCTTTTATTAGGAGAAAGTGTATGAAAATTACATATTGTATATTAGATGCATACTGCAGGATGCCATAGTCATTTATCTACTGTGTTTGTACCACCACAAGTCCAGTTGTGGTTCCAGCGCTTCTCTCCTGCACTATAAAACCCGTCTTCTCTGACTTTTTCCCTATGTATTACACACATTGCTCCCAGCTTCATTTGAAAGCAAAGTTTTGACCATCTGATTCCTCTACCTAAAATACAAATTCTCCATGAGCTACCACAGTATAGGTGCCAATTGCTGTCATGTGGTAGTCGAGGCCTTTGATGATCTGTCCACCTGTTCCTTTTCCCTTCTCATCTCCTAGTCCTCTAGAGAAGCCTGGTACTCAAGTGTGTGCTTCTGTACATCCTGAACATGCTTTTCAGTTCAGACTTTTGCTGCTTTGCCTGCACTCATCTCCCCTATACACAGTTGTTCACTTGCCTCCCTGTTCTCTATCTGCTTATGAATTCTGTTCTTTAAATCCTAGCTCTTTTTTTGAGAATCCTGGCCCCTATTTTATTTTACCCTTGCTTCCTCCCCACCCCCATCTGATTATCCTTCCTTCCTGAATCACTGTACATGGGCTACCACTCATCACTTTTTGGCTTGTATTTATTTTTTTAAATTTGACCTTTGTTTGGGTGCCATTGGCTTATGCTTGTAATCCTAGCTACTTGGGAGGCTGAGATTGACGGATCATGGTTTGAGGCCAGCCTTAGCAAATAGTTCACAAGACTTAATCCCCAAAAACTAACCAGAGCAAAATGAACTGAAGATGTGGTTCAAGCAGCAGAGCACCTGCTTTGCAATTGAATTCAAACTCTAATCCCACCTCTCCCTCAGTCTACCCAACCAAAAAAAAAAAAAAGTGACTTTTGGCTGGGGAAGTGGCTCAGGTAGTAGAGCACCTACCTAGCAAGCGTGAGACCCTGACCTCAAACCCACATACTACCCAAAAAAAGAGTTTTGTGAGTCCTGTAACGTTTAGCAGGTTGTATAGTAGGCACTTATGAAATAATACCATAATTCAGCTAGGTGTTTATTCATTCATGAGTATTACTCATTTTTGTTCTAGGATGGCTACTTTGCTTAGCAAGTTCCGAATAGACTTCTCTGATATCATGGTCCTAGGAGATATCAATACCAAGCCAAAGAAAGAAAAGTAAGTTATTGATTAAATTATTCTGAACAAATTTCCAATTCTTTTATGGTTGCCTACTCAGATGTAGATAATTCAACTTAAACTAATTACCCAAGTTTTTTTCTGCATTAGTTACATTTTATTACACCACTTTTATTCATTGGTACTTAGGTTGAAAAAGTCTTTGGTGTTTTCAGCAAATTAGACTGAGTATACAAAAAAATTATTTTGGTTACTGTTACAGAATTTATGTACATTGAGAGGGACTGGCACAGAGGCAAGGATAGCTACAGGGAAATCAGCTTTGGCTACAGTTTTATTGTTATTGGTGTGGTTCTAAATTTATAATCCAGTTTGAGAGACTAGGAATTGCTGTTTTCTATTAAAAAAAAAAAAAGAATTGTCAATGATTGCTATAGTTGGAATGTGGAGAGCAGCATAATTGATAAAAAGCACTAATTTTACAAGTTGTAATTTACTGTTTAAGATCTTCCTTTTCCATAATTTAAAATAAGATTGTCAGTATTCTATTTATAATAAGGCTAACAATATTCTTTCTATTCTTTTAAGTATTGTAGCTTTTGATGAAATGATTGAGCCATATAGACTTCATGAAGATGATAAAGAACAAGACATTGCAGATAAAATGAAAGAAGATGAGCCATGGCGAATAACAGATAATGAGCTTGAACTTTATAAGACCAAGGTATTCTGTCTTTTCATTAATCTTCCATGTGCTTTCAAAAAAATACTTAAGACATAAATACCAAGCACTGTAATTTAATATGGGAGAAACCATATTAAATTGTGAATTAAATCTAATTTAAGTTAGTTTCATATATGAATAGTGAGAAACGCCAGCTTTTTTTTTCTAAATAGGGAACAGATATTTTTATTACACTAAAATCCATTTTTGTCCACTTTACTATTTTATGAACTGTGGTAGTGGATTTTTTGTGTTTTGTTTTGATGGTGCTGAGGATTGAGCCCAGAGCCTCATGAATCCTAGGCACATACTCTACACAGAGCTACATCCTCAAACCTGAACTATGCTAAATTCTCATTTTCAAATAGCCTAGGAATGACTTTGTCCCGTTTCATTTCAGACATATCGACAGATCAGGTTAAATGAGTTATTAAAGGAACATTCAAACACTGCTAATATTATTGTCATGTAAGTACTATTTGTATTACTATTTCTTTGGCCGTTCATTTTATGAAAGTGTACTGTGGGGAAATAGTAAAACAGGGTCTTGCTATATAGCCCAGGTTGGCCTCAACCCTGTGACCCTACTGCCTCAGTGTCTCAATACGCAGGATCTCAGGCACGTGCCTGGCAAAGTACTTTTGATTAACTTCTGTTCCAAGTACTTATCTATACAGAGAGAATACCAGACATTTTTGAGTATACTTTGCTTTAAGCATGCAGAAATAGCATTTAAGTTAGGAGAAAATAATTATTATGCATCTGAGTAATTCTTTATTATAGTAGGTTCTGGATTTTTCTTTTTCATGTTTTCTACCTATCTCATCTTTTCAGAATTCTTTAGTTTTGAAAACACTATAGCCCAGCTATTAGACATGTATGGGGTAATTTTTACCACAGACAGCTTCCTCATTAAAATAACCCCAAAGAATTATTTAGAGGATTAAATTGGAATAGTAGTGATTTTCATCTGATTCCTCACCCCTAGGTCTCCCACACACAAACTTTCCATGTGGACACATTGTCCTTGTACTGAATATAAATGCTAATGGCTGCTTTGGCTTTTCCTCTGCTGAATGTGGTTAGCTAGATATTACTTGAATCCGAATTTTCTCATTCCTGAGCACTGTGTCCTTCAATAGATAAGGAAAGCTTACACCTCCAGATACCATGCCAAATGATGAAATAAAGTAGCACCAAAAGATTGTTAGTTTGATTAACAACAAACACTTACTGTACCATTAAGTTTTAATTTGTGTGTTGATGATCAAATACCTAAAATGGAAGATGCTAAAAAGAAAAAAATCTACAAAGAAACCTTACAGGTCAAGTAGTCACTACCATCATGATCTATAAATAGAAATTAAAACTTGCAAAAACAAGGTAAAATTAAAATGAATTGTGTTTGAATTTTATTTATCCATATATAGCTTCCATTTTCTAAATTCTGACAGAAATATCCCTTTCTCAAAAAAAAAAAACCCTTATTAAAGGAGAAAAAAATACGAGATTTAGTGTTATTTATGGATTACTGTATTATGGTTTGTAGGAATACTTGTTTGCTATTGTTATTAACAGAAGTTTTAAAATTTTTTGTTGAAGCCTGAAAACATGGAAATGTTACTGTGATATTCTATATACACAGTTTCTCCACACACGGAATTATTTTGTAATTGCAATAATTTATTATTGAGACTTAATTTTTGTTACCTTTTTTTTTCTCAATGTCTTCTCTCTTTTTGATCCTAGGAGTCTCCCAGTTGCACGAAAAGGGGCTGTGTCTAGTGCTCTGTACATGGCATGGTTAGAGGCTCTATCAAAGGACCTGCCACCAATCCTCCTAGTTCGAGGGAATCATCAGAGTGTCCTTACCTTCTATTCTTAATTGTTCTACAAAGTGGACTGCCCTCCAGAATGGTACTTCAGTGCCTAGTGAAGTGACTGAAATCTTCAGTGATGCATTAACATCACAATGGCAAACTGTGACTTTTCTTTCACTGTTTCATTAATTTGAAAGCACACAGGAAAGTTGCTCCATTGATATGTGTATATGGAGGCCAGTTTTAGTCAATTCCATATCTCAATCTTAATGAATGGTGATTCTTATTGGACTGAAGTTCATGAGAGTAAAGTTTTCCTTTGCTACTTGAATAGCAATAAAAGCGTGTTATTTTTTGATTGATGAAAGGAGTACAAAAAGCTTTTTGCCTTGAGGTGCCTTCTGAAATTAACCAAATTTCATCCATATATCCTCTTTTGTAAATTTTTAGAATGTTGGACTTTGCCTTCATATATTATTTTTATTTCTAGTCTCTTCAACCTTAAAAAAAATGGATACTGTTTTTCATCTTCCATTGACCAATTAGTGTTGAGTACTGTATGTTTTCTATTGCTTTTGGAAAAGTATCTGTCATTAAGGTAAGAATTAAGGCAAGCTAATTAAAAATTGAGGAAAAAAATAGTAACCAAAAAGTGGACCCCAAGGTTAGGTTTATACAAGTATATGTAAATGTAGAGTTAGGAAAAAGAGTCCCCAAATACCTATTTTTAAATCCTTAGAGAGGGTTGAATATTCACCCAGTACTGCTGTATACCATGCTGAAAAATCATCATTCTTTAATCCTTAAGATCATTTGTATTTAAGAGAGATCTGTCCTAATCTAGAATTTCCCTCAAATCTGAGAGACTTAGAATATGCTAAAAGATGTTACTTGAGGAAATTTAGACAAAACAATGTCATTTCATAAAATATTTCAATAAACATTGTATGGGATTTCATTTTACTTTACCATCCTTTATAAGTCATTCAAATAATGTTTCATCAAATGGTTAAATGGACCGCTGGTTTCTTAGTTAGTGAAATGTTTTAGGCTTAATTTCATTCAATGTCAAGTCACTCAGTCTTAATATACTCAGGTTTGAACAGATTATTCTGAACATTGAAATTTAATCCGTTCTTAATACTTTAAAACTTGTGTTAAGAAAAACTGCCAGTTTGTGCGTTTGAAATGTCTGTTTTCACATCATAGTCTACTAGTCTACAATTTTGACAGTGCATAAGTACTGTTACTAAAGCTTTATATACAATTATTAATGTGAAATTTTTCATTTTTATTCAAGGAAGGATTTCCTGAAAACATTTCAAGGGATTTATATCTACATATCTGTATGTGTGTGTGTATATGTATATGCATACACAGGTGCATATGTGTACATGTAATGAAATTTATGTTGCTGGTGTTTTGCATTTTAAAGTGATTGCGATTCAGCAGATTAATGTTTTTTAAGTAAACATTCAAAATCAGATCAACGGATTATAGCTTTCATAGAGAACAAAGGTGATTTGAAGGACACAGTGTAAACTTCACACAATTAGCCAGTTACAACATGGAGAACATTTCATATACAGTACTGTTCAGTGGGTTCATTGATTAGTTTCAGTGGTGGAGAAATTTATACAGGTTCTCATGAATCTTGATTAAAATCTATAAAATTATTTTCAGTGGTGCAGCATTTTTTGTTGCATGAGTATGAACTTAATTGAAGATCTGATGATTTTAATTCAGAATAGCAAGAAAATGAAGTAATTGATTTCCTAAAATTTTTTCTTACATTAATACTCACAGCATTGTTCCATTTATTGCAGGTTTTGCAGTATTTGAGGGGAGAGACAGTGGAAATGTTATTATTCAGTAAACAATATCATGTGGGAATTTTCTAAGTGGATAATAGGGAATGGACTGAGTGCTGCTATCTTGAAATGTGCACAGGTACACTTACTTCTCTTTTCTTTGTTTTGGTTTTTCCTTCAGGAAAACATTGTAGACTGTACTACAGGAACCAAATGTCATGCATCATATATGTGTGTATAAAGTTCATAAAATATATCTAAATATGCATACTGTGGAAGGATGATATTGTCTGAAATAATGTAAAAAGTTTTTCACTTAAAAAATGCATTACTTAACACTAGACACCAGACAAAAGTTTTCAAGGTTGTTGTAGTGCTCTAAAAAGTTTCAACAATTCTTAGAAATGCTACCTAGTGTGAAGCTATTCTGTTCTGCTTCATTTATGTTGAATTTTGATTACTTTAATGCCAAATTTTTTTAGTCCTAATCATTGGTGATAATTTAGAAATAATTACACAATGACATTTGAGTTCATTGTTCTTATAGGTAAAGAATTCAGGGGGCTCAGAGAGAATGTTGGTGTTAAGCTGATTATTAACACTTAATTAAATCAAATATTTATTTGTCCACATTGTTTCCTTTGTATTTTAGGTTTCCTTTTACATTCTTTTTATATTGCTTTCTGACATTACATGTTTTTTAAGACTATGGAAATAATTTAAAGATTTAAGCTCTAGTGGATCATTATCTACTAAGTTTGAAAATGTAATATTTTGATAATACTGTACTATAACTGTCACACATGCTTTTCTAATGTTTTAACCTTGAGTATTGCAGTTGCTGCTTTGTACAGAGGTCACTGCAATAAAGGAAGTGGATTCATTAAAGCTATTTAATGTCTTTGCTTATGTTTTACTGTTTTATCAGTCTTTGTCAACTTTGATTTCATCCAATTTAGCTAACTATTATTTCATTAGTATTTGTTTTTTTTAATGGCTTTTATCTTAATATTCATATTTTGGAAAAGTCGAGATTATTCACTACCACTCAGCCTTTGGAATAATCACTCTTGCTACTGACTAACTGAAGTATGAGGTGCAACTCTTTGTGTGATTTTTTTTTTGTTTGGTTTGGTTTTTTTTTTTTAGACTGACTTAACTTTTCTACTTCTGCTTATATATTGGGCCAAATCTCTCATTTAGGAATGAGGAAACCCAGAAATTAAAAGGGATTCATACTCCCTGAATTTAATCTGATTCTTTTCTAAGATTTTTTTTGCTAAGCTGATTCACAGTTTTACAGAGTATTTTCCCTTTCTCATTTGGACCCTTTGGTAAGTTTGTTAACATATGCAGGACAGTTATTTATCTCTCTTTTACTTTTGAGAATACAGCTGGGAACCGTTTAGGGAATTTCCTAAAGTTGTGATAAATCAACAAAGGAAGGATTTCAGCCTGGAGCCCCAGGTCTTTCCTCTCCAGGGATCTCTCCATTATGTATTCACTTGGCCTGATCTATAACTTAAGACAGTTGGGATAGATTGTCATTTCCAAACTACTCATCTTACCTGCCAGCAAGTCAGTATTCAAGAAATGCAAATGACTTGATTGGCTATAGGTGCTCTTCGTATATCTGAAACCAAATATAAGTGTCCATTGTATGATCCTTCTTATTTATACTATCTAGACCAATTTACTTCTTTGGGAACCTAAAAGAGAATTCAAAGGCTACTGTGAATGTGACATTACCTAATTTCAGATCATCCAACAATTTTCAAAACAGGAGTACAATTGATTTTTGAACCAGTAGGTTTTTGTTGTTGCCCATTCATTAGGAAAAAAAACAGATGCATTTACTATGACTTCTTTGTTTATTTACCAGTAGGTCTTTGTTTATTTACCAATAGGATGTATGTAGTAATTTTAACTGTTTGGGTAAAGATGGTACAAGTCCTAGGGGTACACTCAGTAGAAAGTTCTATTTAATTCAGTTAGTTCAGATAGTAAATATACAAAATGTGTTGGTGGATTAATCAATTTAATTTTTTTTTAGATTGATACCTAAGTCTCATTGACTTTTCTAGAAGACATGTTTTAGATGCATGATAGGCATCTATTAAATGGCAGCATTAGAACTTCATCCTCCGCGGGGGCCCCCCCCCCCGCACCACCCACCAAGTCTAATACTGAATTTTGTGTTAGTCAAAATAAGAATTAGAAGCTGTTATTTTAGGGAAAATGTGAATTTGTCACATCTTACTATTTGCATATGAGTATAAATTTCCAATGTATTCTACCCACAGCTATAATGAAAATAAACTTTTGTTGATCCATGAGATAGGGTCAGTGATTCATGGATAGTGGATGTAAAAACCCTGATTCTGCTTGTCATAATTTCATTAGAATACTGCTGAAATCTTTCTGGTGAAGAATTGAGATTTTTGTCCTAGAAGAATTTAGTCTAAAGGAGAGGAGCAGTTTATAGGGTAACTTTATATTTAGCTCTTACATCTCTAATAGCAAATAATACTCCAAAAGTTTTAAAATTAAGTAGGCAGTATTCATATTTTGTATTTATGGAGCTACATATGTAACTACCATAAGCAATAACTACACTTGGTATTTCTACATTAAGCTCCACTTACTCCATTCTTAAAACAGTTATTATCTGAAAAACAATAATCTACAGGACTTTCTCTGAATAACATTAAGCCATGGGTTATTTTTTATTTTAGTCTACAACTAAATGGTTTTGCTTAAACCATGGAAACAGTTCCTAAAAAATGTTGCTAATTTAAAAACAGAGAATGAAGACAATTTGTGAATGCAGGTGGGGCCAGTAGCAGTGGGATGGAAAGTTAGGCTCTTAAGAGGTTTGTGGGTTGTGAAAGATTTGCCTCTTATTAAGTCTTACAGTCATGTGTCCTTTGGGAAATAGTGACTTGTCACTATTGAATGGAAGTCACTTTTCTCCCCTGAATTTATAAAATCTCTTTACTCAATCAGCTTTTCCTTATTAGCTATGTTGTCTCAATTTTAGAACTGTTAACATACATTTTGTAGTTTATTTCTGTGGCTTTTCTGTCAGTAAAGATAAACCTTTACTTTCTGTGTACCTGTGAGTTTAGCATTGTTGACATAAACTTTCCACTTGGGTTTTTTTCAGAAAATTGTTGATACAGAAGCACAGGTATGTTATATACTGAAACACTGACTGGAACAGTGGTTCCGAAACTGTCACGATTAAAACATACATTAGGACTTAGGGTATAGCTACTTGCCTAGCATGCATGAAACCCTAGGTTTCATCCCAGCATGCCAAAAGACAAACAAGCAAACAAAAACATAGTTTATTCCTGCCATACAATCTGTGTTCTAAATGAAAGTCTTTATATGTGCTGCTTCTCAGTATAGCCCTCCCTCCTTTGAGGTTGTTTTTGTCCTCCTTCCATGATATACATGTATTTCCATCTCTCCTTACACCAGCTGTGAATTCAAGCAGTCCCTTCCTTTGCAAATTATTCTGTTTTCATTTTTACTTAGGTCTTTGTCCATGGCAGGAACAGAACCCAAAGGAGGCTAATGAAAAGGAAGTCCAGGAGGGCATCTGAGAACAGTATTGTTAAGATTCTCTGTCTGCCTTTCCTTCTCTTTAGTTTGCTCTTCTAGGCTTGATCTGGTTTTTGAAGCAGTCTGTTATGTTACCACATGGTATGCTGATGGCTTCTGGAAAAAAAGAAAAGCTCAGTCCCAACAGTTTAGCAGCATCCACAGTAATAAAGCATACATCCCAATAAGTTCTGGCAGAAAAGACTAGGGAAGGCCCTGGGGGCTCAGCAAGTATTACCCCTCAAATAATCATGAATCTGTTTTTGGGTAGGCATAAGTCTTGTGCCTGCTTGACATGCAGTAGATACTCTGTAAAAATGAGGAATTTATTATCAAAAGAAAGGCTGTGAAGACTAAACCAATAAATGCCAATGATCTGTTACCCCAGGATTACTTTAAGTAATACAGCTGCCCCCACATTCTCCTGAATATGGGAAAAAACCTATGTCATCTCCCCCTTTTGGAACCTATAGTTACGAGGACTTTTATAATCCAGGATATTTATGATATTCAAGTCCAGATGTGGCTCTTCATAATCCAGCAACCTATAAATAGCCATTGAAATACTTT